AACTCTTTTACTGAATCTAACAAGATTAACTCTTTTACCATTGCTTGTCATGTTCTAATGAAAAAGTCTATAAAAGTCTGGCATATGGTCAGGTATCCATTAGTTCTAGAAAAGGACTGCAGTTGAAATGCAACTAGAGAGCTGTGCTTAAGGGATGGAACGTCACTGCAGCCTCACCTTCCTGGGCCAGGGTCGCGCTGGGATCTCGAACTCTGCATGCCAGTCCCCGGAGAAGACCTCTCTGGGTGCAGGCCCCTCTTGGCTGAGCAAAGTTCTTATTAGCTAAGCTCCAAGTTCAAGTCACAAGTTTGCTCTCTCCTAGCAACCGGGAGAGCCTAACAGAAATCACCTGCAAGCTGCCAATGGCTGGTCTGAGAAAACCCAGACACATGCTCCAGTCACCTCATCTGAGGACTGAGGGCAGAGCTGGGTCCCGTGGACTCTGGAGCCCCAGCATTTAGCCCAATTCTGTTAAACCGAAACTACACGGTCTTCAGCCTCGAAGGGTACTCCAGGGTGACAGCAATTCCAATGCTGTTTATGTCTCAGGAAGGAATGACAGTCCCTTGAGCTGCCCTCAGTCAGGGAAGCCCAGGCAATGCTTGCGACCTGGGTCACACCATGGCACGAGGCCGGGCATCACACAGTGGAGACAGTTCCCTGGAGGCGGCTGTGAGGCCCTCTCAGCGAGCCATCCCCGTCTCACTTCAACAACAAGCAGGCGGCCCAGGTCTCTTGGTAGAGTCTCACATGCACCAACTGCAGCCACTAGGGAGGCCGGCGCGGAGCCCCGGCGGCTCCGATGCATCACCCTTTCTGCAAAGCACCCATGTGGTCGCCACAGCGGGGTTGTGAGGCCATTCCTGGCCTATAAGGAGACAGGAGGCTGCCACTGCCCCACTCGTCCTCCCTCCACCCTCCCCATCCTCACAAGTCCAGTGAGCACTCGGCAGCACTCATGGGCCATCAGCCCTGACAGATGCCCGCTGGCAGCAATGGTAGAGTGCCCTGTCCTTCTGCCAGGAGACAGGATGCGCCCCTCTCCCAAACCCCACCCGTCCTCCTCAAAGACACAGGAATGAAGTGTCAGGGCTCCAGGGTCACCACGCCTGGACACCCAACCCAGCCTGTCACTCAGCTACGTGACGGTAACTATCGCCACAACCTCACGAGCTAACGCCTGCACCATGAGCGCTCACGCCTCCTGCAAGACAGGGCTGGAAGAACCCGGCCTGCTGTGGGGGCGGCTTGCAGGGCTCCTGCTCCCCTTGGACCCCTCACCAGGAATCCCAGGACCAGTGGCCAAGGGTCTGTCCTGCTTTCTCAGGCTGACTGAGTAAAGGAGATGGGAGGTAGAAGGCGCCAGGGATGCGGAGGGCGCATGGGGACGCAAGCCCTGCCTTTAGGGCACACACTCTCATCTACTCAAGTCTCTGCAGAGTTATTTCAGAGATTTCACTGGTCAGACAGGCCGGCGTGTAGCCCCAGGCTCCGGTGCCTCATTGTCCAGGACAAATCCAGCAGCCGTGACTGCCAGGCACACCTACAGGAACACATCCTGTTCTGCACAGCACTTAGGAGTGACAGACTTCAGTCAAATCTCCACGAACACTAGAATGACATCTGGTTGCACCAAACAGTCACCTTTTGTTTGTTAAGCCACTTTCTTATCAGGAAAAACATTTATTTTCCCAACCTTGAGAAAGCCAGTCAAGAGGTAAAGTTCAATCCAAATCTTTGAGGAAAAGAAAGATGCCCGAAGCTGTGGGGAGTGGGCCTCTAGGAGCAGCCCTGGCCTGTCCTGCTCCTTCCAGCTGGAGGCTCCCAGGGAGCAGAGCCCACACCTGACCAGCCTCTCCAGCAGCCACAGGCGTGGAGACCACAGGGCGTGACTGGTGCCGGCCAGCGGGGCAGGTGGGGGGAGCTGGCTACTTTGCAGAACAAAACCTTGCTGTGTTCCTGAAGATCTCCCCGACAGCAATGGCCGCTGGATTTGTGATGGAAGATGAGGCACTGGGGCCTGGGGCTGGACACTCTAGGTCAAAGGGAGGGCTCAAGCCATGGCCTGTGTACCCTCGGGGATCAGCAGGATGACCTAAGTCACAGGTGACTGAGCAGGGCCACAGTGATGACAACAGGAATGATGAGTGCCTGCAGCCAGACCCCTGCACTGCCACGGGTCACGGGCACCCTAACCCTTGGGACAGCTCAATGCAGGGATGATGGACAGGGAGCCCAGCACCAAGCAGACAGTTCTGACCTGGCAGGGCTGGCCTGGGGCTGTCGAGAAGCAGGCATTTCTAACAAGTCCCCCAGCGGCCCCACTTGAGAGCCACAGCCTTAGAACAGCTCTGGGGTCTCCTTAGTGCCGAGGGCTCTTCGCCCCTTTCTACCCAGCCTCCGCCTCCCACAGGCCTCATGGGCACAGCCTGGCTCTCAGGACTGTCAACCAAATATGAAATCCTGAGTCCCCTAACTGTCTGAACAGAACCCCCTCTGGGCAAGGGGACCCCAGAGCAATCTGAAAAAACAAATTCCAGGCCCTGATGGGAAGGAAGGTCAGACACACCCATTACACCACCTCCCTTTGGAGTTCAGGCACAGCTGACCAGCGTGAGTGAAACAGATCAGACAGACAACCCAGGCTTGGCAGCAACGACACCGAACTCCAGCCTGACTCAGGTACAGCACCACACGACAGACAGCAAACCCAGAAGGAAATCAAGAGTTCACCCCAAAATACACGTACTATCTTGACATATTGGGAACGGTTCTACAAAGCTGTCTTTTGTGGGGAGATGTGCATCTGCAGAGAATCTCCCTCCCATTCTAGGTCTTTCCTCGATCTAGGAGACATTTAATGAATCTGACAGCGCTAAGGTCTGAAAAGAGACATTCACCCTCTGTTCTCCCCAAGGCTGCTACCTGTGAGGCTTCATTTACTTAACCTTGGCCTCCACAGCCCAGTTTGCTTAACCCAAGCATTTCTCTCTGCTGACTTCAAGTCTTTAGACAAAGCTTAACTCTTTCAACCAACTGCCAATCAGAATCCACCTGCGATCTGTAAAACCCACCCCTTCCTACACCTTACATGGACTGATTTGTCTCTTTGTCTGTAACTTTTGTCTCCCTACAATGTAGAAAATGAAATTAACGTGACTGCCTGGAACACACTTCCTCAGGACCTCTTGACACCCCGGGCCATGGCCACTCACTGGCTCAGAACAAACCTCTTTCAATATTTTATAGTTTGGCTTTTTGGCCAGCAGGACCCTCTCACTGCTGCCTGGCCAGGCAGGCTGCAGCTGTCTTTCACTTTCAGCCATATCCTCCTCCAGTCTCAGTCTCAGGCCAAGCCTGCTCTTCCTGCTGTGACTGAGAAGACAGTCAGCTCCTCTAAAGGAGCCTTACTGAGGCGAGCTAACACACCCCTGGGTAGGAACGTTAGTGTGTGGCTGTCAGGAGTGACCTTCCTTCTGAGCTCTGTGGACAGTTCTCAAGGCTCCCTATCTGCTGCTTCAGCTACAGAATCTGCAATATCTGAATTACGATCTTTAGACCTCAGATTCTTAACCAAATTTAAAAAAAAAAAATCAAAACCAAAACCCACAAAAAAGGTGACAAAGTCCTGCCAGGGCCACCTGCATTTTAAGGAACATATCTGTTTCTGCCACTGAATAACACACTAGAACTGAAGAGTTCTCCACGTGATTGAATTACGTGTCAGTTTGTTTCCCTAAAAGCAGGGTCTAAAAAGCCCATTGAAGAGTTTCTCTGTCCATCTATTCCAGTCTCTGACCTCTATTCTGAGTCAGGTCAACAGGGACGGAAGCAAACATGGGATCAAAGAGAAGGAATCCATTAGAATCAAACGGCCCCAGCACGCTGAGATAAGAGGAGGATGAATTTTCAAGATAACCATTTACAATGACATACAAAAGCCCTATTTAGACTTGAAAAAAAAGTTTCGTTACAAATCTGTTTGGACATGAGAAAAATACAGCAAGATTGGGTATAAGACATAGAAAACAAAGGTGCTAGAAGAAAGAGTAGCAATTTGTTACAGCTCTTGCCCACTGAAACACATAATTGGAGGTTAGTACACACAGAAAGTCCTGCCAGACCTCACGCTGGTCGGGAGGAGCTCCTACTTCAGCGATTTAAATACCATTGTAAGGGAAGGGTGCTGTGACTGCCGCTCCCACGCCAACCCTGACCTGTAGAGCAGGAGAGCGACTTCGTGACTGATTAGCAATGTGCGACCACATGAAAGCACTCAAGAAAAAAGTACAGAACACGACCAGCAGTTCCGCGAAAGATTTCTCAAAGGCTGTGCATCTGTGAAGAAGTAACCCACCAATGAAATGCTTTGCAGAGTTTAAAAATGTAGGTTGTTTTGGGTTTTATAGAGAAGCCTCCGGAGTATTTGGATTGCTAAGTTGTAAGTCCACTTTGAGCATGCACTGTAGGGCCAGCTATCCCAACCAGAAAGAGAATGATGAAGATTTAAAGGGAAAGGGGTGGCGACGAGTGTGGAATAAGATGAGGGATCCTCAGACAACAGGAATTCTAGGCACTGAAGTGGAATAAATGGGGATAGGTGTGTGGACGGCAGGAAACCGCTACCGTAGGAAGCCTGGCAGGTCAATGAAGTTCTTGGGGCTCAAAACATAGGAATTTTCAGAGCTGGGATACGGGAGGGCTTCCCAATCCCCAAGTGTGCGGTGAGGGCGGCGGGAGAATGGTTTCATTTTGACTTGAGACAGCCCAACTGGCCAGGATCTCACCGGGGATTACTTGGGGGAGACGTGGGGAGCAGCTGGCTTAGTCCCCTGCCCCTGCAAAGGCCAGGGCTGGTCCGAGTGGGGTGCCTCTGCGCTAAGGAAAGAAAAACGGGGCCTGGGAGGGGCCGCGGGACCCGCCTTCTGGGGCGGTCGCAGGGGGTCCTCGGAGGCCGCGGTCCCAGGGGTCGGGGGTCCCCGCGCAGGGGCACGCCTCACCTCGCACGTCCCCGGCCAGGGCCCGCCAGGTGGGCGCGTAGGCGACGCAGTGGCCGCACCACGACGAGTAGAACTGCACGAGCCACGCGGCCGAGCTGTTGGCGGTGGCCCCGCGCACGCTGCCGCTGTCCAGCACCCACACGGCGTCCTCGCCCGCGCGGTACAGCCCTGCCGCGCCGCCCATGCCCGGCCCCGCCGCCGCAGCCGCCAGCAGCACTAGCAGCCGCGGCAGCCCTGCGACCCGCGGCGAGGGCGAGCGTCGGGCGCCCGGCGCCGGACCCGCTCCGACTCCCGGGCTGCACGCCACCGCCGCTCCGGACGCCGCCATGTTGGAAGTGCCGCCGGCGCGCTGAACTTTCACCCTGGCAACCACCGTCACGTGCGCCGGCGCGCCCGTTTCCGTCCCGCCCCGCCCCCGCACGCCTGGACCTGCCCTCTCCCTGCACCCACGCACCCAGCCCCGCCCCGCCCATGCGTGGCAGCCGCTCCCCCAAGAGGCTGGTGACGCCGTCGCCCCGCCCATACGCGGCAGGCTCCGCCCATGCGCGGCAGGCCCCGCCCCGCCCCGTTGGGCGTCCCGCAGACCCTCCCCCTGAGCCGGGCCGGGGTCGCCAGATTTAGCAGAAGGAAGTGCACAAAGCCAGGTTCAGTACGAATTCAGACAAACAGCGAGTCGGTTTTTCAGTCTAGGTCTGTGCCATACCCGAAATGCAAATTAACGAGACCATTCTTTTTTATTTTTTGAGACGGAGTCTCACTCTGTCGCCCAGGCTGGAGTGCCGTGGCGCGATCTCAGCTCACTGCAACCTCTGCCTCCCGGGTTCAAACAACTACCCTGCCTCAGCCTCCCGAGTAGTTAGGATTACAGGCACGCACCAACACGCTCGGCTAATTTTGGTATTTTTAGTAGGGAGGGAGTTTCACCATGTGGTCAGGCTGGTCTCGAACTCCTGTCCTCGTGATCTGCCGGCCTCGGCCTCCCAAAGTACTGGGATTACAGGGGTGAGCCACTGCACCCGGCCTGCAAGACATTCTTAGGCATAAAAAACTATTCCAGCGTCCTTTCTTTTACCTGGCAACCCCACCTGGGGCTTCAGAGAGAGGATCTGCAACCCAACCTCGACATTTTTTTTTTTTGAGACGGAGTCACCCCGGGCGACAGTGCAGTGGTGCGATCTCAGCTCACCAAAACCTCTGCCTCCCAGGTTCAAGCGATTCTCTTGCCTCAGCCTCCCCCAGTGGCTGGGATTACAGGCACTTGGCACCACACCTGGCTAATTTTTTGTATTTTCAGTAGAGACGGGGTTTCGCTGTTGGCCAGGCTGGTCTCGAACACCTGACTTCACGATCCACCTGCCTCGGCCTCCCAAAGTGCTGGGATTACAGGTGTGAACCGCCGTGCCTGGCCCAACCTCGACTTTTTAATATGAGGTTTGAGTGCTTAGAAAATGCAGGCGACACCCACTCAAAGTCAGATGTGTTGTGGGCTGCCTTTTAGGGTGTTCCAGTCGAATGCAGCTTTAAGGTTTAGAAATGAAATTATATGACTTTTTTGCATCATTGAACAGGAAACCTGGTTTTTCAGTTGCTATTTCTAATTTTTACACATGTCAAGATTTTCTCTGAACTCTGCGACCATAACAAAAAAGAAAGGGAGCGGGGAGCTGGTCCCAGCGGACCGTGGCCATCCAGTGGCTGGAAGTTCAGATTCTCACGTTCTAGCACACCTCGTGATTAACTTATAAATAAGTAAGTGTTGCTATTTGAACCTAAAATACATTTACACTGATATGGGCATCTGGCTGCTCTTTACATTGTAGGGGTCCAGCCGGGCGAGGTGGCTCACGCCTGTAATCCCAGCAGTTTGGGAGACTGAGGCAGGAAGATTACTTGAGCCTAGGAGTTCCAGACCAGCCTGGGCAACATAACGAGAGCCCATCTCTTAAAAAAAAAAAAATTTATCTGGGCATGACGGTGCGCACCTATAGTCCCAGCTACTTGAGGGCTAAGGTGGGAGGATGGCTTGTGCCTGGGAGTTTGAGGCTGCAGTGAGCCGTGACTCCGCTACTGCACTGCAGCCTGGATGACACAGCAAGAGCTCGTCTCACAAGAAATACGTAACTGCATTGTGGGTTCTATGTAAGATTTTGTTTGAGAAAAGATTTTGCTGCTGACAATGGCTAGCCGCAGATGAGAGGGTCCTCCGCAGAGGGCCGGGCCGAGGCGCCTGCTCCCTCTCCGTCACATCCTGTGTGTCCTTGTTCACATTTCCTTCCATGGCTCCTGCTCTGTGCCAAGCCCTGGAGACAAAGCAAGGACAAAGCCGAGCCCCCAGCACCTCTGGCCTGCATTCGGGCAGACCCAAAACAAACCAAGGAGTAAAGCAGCCAGCACGTGCCATGAAAAACAACGAGCGGGGCAGGGAGGCAGATGCCAGCGGGGCCGCTGTACGCAGGAGGTGGGGTGGAGATGTCTGAGAAGGCACCCAAGTGGAGAAGGAGGTGAGGGAGGAGGCACGTGGCCCAGGCAGAGGAGCCACACTTGCAAAGGCCCTGGGGCAGGAGGGTGGGGAGCGCACTGGAGGAACATGGAGGACCCGGGCCTGGTGGAGCTGGAGGAAGCCGGGGGAAGCGTGGCAGGGAAGAAAAGCCAAAAACCTGAGGGAGACCCGGGGGTCCTCACAAGCCAGGCCACAGCCTCAGGCCTTGATGCTGAATGTGGGGGCGGCCATAGGAGGATGGGTGCAGGGACGCAGGTAGGAGGGGAAGCAGGGGACCTGGGAGGGGCCGCCGCCTCCGTCCACCAGCTGGCGGGACTCAGGGGAGGGGTGAGTGGCAGTGCGGGCGGAAATGTCAGCTGAGCCTAGGTGGGGGCAGAGGGTGTCACCTCAGCAGGGTTTGCGGCAAAGCAGCTGGAGGAAGGTGGCTGCTCACGGCCGGCTGAGACAGCGGCAAGGCAGAAGAGCGATGCCGGGGAGGATGCCAGGAGTTCCCTTTGGACCTGTTACATGTTGGTGGGCTTTTCAGCCCCTGAGGGAGGTGTCAGGTCGAGACTTGGAAGGGGGAGTTGAGGGTTTGTTGAGGCTGCTTGTGGTCCCCCAGGGAGGCTGCGGGTCAGAGGGGAGGGCCACATGCTCAGCCCCAGGCCTCAGAAGGAGCAGCGGCAAGGAGGCAGGGGACCAAGCGTGTGCAGAGACCCAGGAGAAAAGGAGCCTGACCCCGCTGAGACAGAGGATGGCGAGAGCCCAACGGGAAGGGCACATTCAGAATGTCAGGGCAACACCGCACCCCAAACCTGCTCAGTGAAATGGAGCCACCCATGGGACCAAGCTCAGCCCAGCACTTAGAGGCCACACCCCAAAACAACCAGAGTTTCTCCAGGCCGAGGCAGGGCAGGAGAGGGGAAGGGGTTGGGATTAAATCTCAGAATCTAGGCAAGAGCTCTCTGTGCTGAGCCAGGTCCCGCCCAAAGCCTGCGTGAAGTCTGCCCCACCTGCAGGAGAGGTGTCCACATGGGCTGTGGCTAAGGCCAGGTGACTGCAGGCACGGTTAGTGTGCGTGCCACTGAGCGTGAAAACACGTGGCCCGTGCTCATTTTCAGGTGCCCTGAGAGAGACAGTGCTGGCTTCAAAGGATCAAAATGTGGGACGATCACATGTCAGACCCGATGGAGTGAGGCGCTGTACAGGCAGCTCCGTCTTGGACCTCACCTGCTGGTGAGCCTGATTCTGGGAAGGCCTCCACGATTTCTAGTTGATCTCTTGTTCCCTGTGTAGAGCGGGTGCCCTCAGGGCAAAGAACCCTGATGCCATCTACTTCAGGTTCCTGCACATCCTTCTGAACCAGCCTCCCGGATGGCAGGTAAGCCCTGGGCCTGGGGTGATGGTGGTACCCACCGTCTGTCTGTGCCTCCAGAGACACAAATGTGGCTTCTGTTCGTCAGTCCCTACTAAATGTTTCTTCCCCAGAAACTGCACCTGTCAGCCTCTTTCTTCTGCCTCTCAGCCTCCTCTGCTTTGGGGCAGGTTTGCACAGGCCTGCCCATTGTGGAACAAGGGTTGGTATTACTGTTTTACAGAGGAGGAAACTGAGGCTCAGAGGGCTGACTCCTGTGTGAGGTGAAGGGCGCCGGGCATGTATGTGACAGAGGGGAGGGTCTCAGGTCCACACGGCTCCCAGGACCCAGGAGGGCCCATTCCAACACTCGTGTTGGAGACAAGAGCAGGACCCCAGCTCTCAGCCTGCTTGCTTTTCACATGGGGAGAGCGGAGATGAGGCCAGACAGACTTCAGCTGCTCTGGCTCCGGGACTGGCCCTGCTGCCTCAGTCTCCCCCTTGAGCAGGAATTTGCCATGGAGGGCTCCGCTGCTTAATACCACCACCTGTTTTGGGAAAAATTTTGGGGAGGAATTCCGCACACCTGCACCAGCACCTGAGCACTGGGTGGGTGCTGGAGACAGTGCCTGGTGGGAACAGTCCCATGTGTCCTCATTGGGACACCATGAGGAGGTGGGTGGCCATCCTCCAGAGACTGTGGACGTGGAGGCACGTCTGGGGGCAGGGGCTCCTTGCCAGACCCCTGGTGAGAGGTGGAGCAGGGCCCAGGCAACCTCAGAGCACGGGTGGCTGTCAGCACCAGCAGAGCCCATGCTGCACCAGCTATAGCGGGCAGGGGCAGGGAGCCCCAGGGAAGGGCCAATGGGGGTGAGAAGTGTGATCCCATTCTCTGTCCCCTGCTGTGACGCTGCCGGGCAGTGGGTGGATGGGACAAGACCCACGGACTTGCTGTGGGACCTGCCGACACTCTCCCAGGACCCCGAAGCTGGCTGGGGGGCCAGGAAAAGGACGACTTCTGAGCCTGGCTTTGCTGGACATGAAATGGCCAGGCTTGACCCTGGGGCAGAGAAGATGAACCACAGGGACCCCGTTCCACGTGGGCAGTGAGTGAGCGCTCCCAGATCCCCAGGAGAGTGTGCGCGGCCACCACCTTCATAGAGGGCCCCTGGCCTTCACATGTATTTTATGAGGGTGGCCGTGATGGCCACGCAGGGCCAGGGATCAAAAGGACTCATAAAGTTTGTCTGATGATTTGGGACTCGGAGCGCTTGCGGACGCGTTCATGGGCATTTTATGCAGGAGGGAACCATTAAGCTGGGAAGCTGAAAGAGACAGATCACAGGAAAATTAAATGTAGGGTTTAACTGAGAAATAATCATTTTCTATGAAAGATAATGACTTCTCTGGAGGCTGGTATCAAGATTTATTGGCCCAAGCGGTGATGGCAGATCAGAGCCCAGGCAAGTATGTCGGGAGACCTTGAAGGGGAGGCACCTTGGATTGCCATCTCGACAGGTCGATATATCTGAATGCCAAAGCCCTCTACATCGTGCTGGGAGATTAACTGTGTTTACACCCCAGGTGGAGCAGCTTTTTCTCCTGCAGTCAGAGTAACCTGAGGGCTCTGGCCCCCTCCAGCTCCACTGTCCTTGGAAGCCCCAGCCCGGGTTTTCCTCCATTCCTCACGAATAGCCCCCTTCAAGGGCACCTGCCATCGGCCAGCGACAGGAGGCACCTGCCAGGCTCCCAGGGAAAGTCACTCTGGTTTCCGCTGTGAGTGCAGCCACCATCACATCGCACCCCATCGCACCATCACGTCAGCACCAGCCATGTGGCGGGGACCCAGGGAGCCATCGGATTCACCGCATATCTGCGGGGCGTCGGTGGGGGAGATTTATTGCCATGCCAGATGTATGCGTGTGAAATACATCATTCCTCCCACACGGCCTCATAAATCCAAAAGGGTCAGCCATAAATGGGAAAAAATAAAAAATCACAGACTAATTCGTTCACAAGACTAGAAGGGAATCAATGCGAAAGCCGTAGCTTGGCTCAAAGTTTGTTCTGAAATGGTGAGCACGGAGCAGGAACACGTTCCCCACTGGATCCAAATCTCCCCGCGTGCTCGGGTGGGCTGGGCTGGGGAGCATCCACGCAAAATCAGGTGCATGGCCTGAGCTGGGTCCCCATGCACGCACTGAATGGGGGCCCTGACACAAGCTGGCTGTGGTGAAGGCACCTGGGGCTGAGCGGCTGCCCTGGGACTGGGAGAGGCAGGCAGGGCCCAGCTGCTGCCCGGCAAGGGATGTCTGGACGGGGGCTCCTGCCTCGAAGCAGGGGGCCCAAAGGGGATTTAGGAGGCTTGGGGTCTCTCGCAGAGCTCTGGGGTAGAGGGCCCTGGTAGCTCCATGTGTCCTGTGACCTGGTGCCTTGGGCTTTGCCAGACTAGCTTTGTGATGCCTCCCACTCAGACTGCATTCATGAAGCCTGGAGTGCGCTCCTGTCTTAAAGTGGAGGCAGCCTGAGGCCCTGGACCAGAGAAGCCACATCTTGGAGGGATCAGTGCTGGGACATAGATGTCCCTAAGGCCAACATGCTGCTCATCAACTCCCCATTCAAGAAGAGACACTCACATTCAAAAGCGTCCCTGAGAAATTACAGGGGTCCCAGCAAATCCCCTGGAAGCAAAGAAAAGTGCATGACACGAAGAGAAATTGGACGTCCTGGCCTTCCAGGTACAGCGAGTCCTGAACGCGCTCAGGAAGAGACCTTGGGCCACTGATCCCCAGAGGACAAGCCTGGTTCGGGCTGCAGGGGAAATGGCCTTGGGCCCTTGAGCTGCCTCTGCCTCTGGTCCGTTCAGCTCACGTGTGAGACACCCATGCCAGTCCCCCCAGCTACACAGCATCTGCCAGCAGTTGGGGGGGCGTGTATGGCGGGGGGCGCCTCCAAAGTCAAAGCAGGCAGATTCCCCCAACTGTCTTCTAAGAGGGGTCAGGGGTGCGAGTCAGCACCAGCTGGGTCCACCCCAGCTCCTCTTTGCCCCGAATGCTCTCTCTTCCTCTCTTGTCCTTCACGGATCTCCATGACCCGCCTCCTGGCAAAGGTGCTGCTCCGCCCATCCCCACTCCGGCTCTAGACAACTCTGACTGTTCTCGCCTCTGGGCTGCAATGCCTTTTCTGGGACGCCTCTTCATGGCTTTGATGTGACGAAGTGGGTGTGCAGCCTGGGCCCGGCTTCAGGTGACCGTCCGCACAGTCAGCTGCCCACCGGTCCACCCTGGGAGGGTCCAGGCCTCCAGGTTCCCACGTGCGCACGCGTGTGCCACACACAGCTCACAACCACCTTAAAGACGCCTGTGCATCTCTGTATTTCCAGAAAACACTCCCTAGGGGCTCCCCTGGGGGGCCAGTGTGGAGAGAGCTGCTAAGGACTCGAGTAGGACCCTCCTGGTGAGCTTCGTGGAGACCAAGTCCACCACCTGGTCTCTCGCCCCACCTGGGAGATGGGCAGGGCAGCCTGAACCTGTCTCTAGGAGCGGCTCTCTGCCTAGTGAGCCCTTGGGCCCAAGCAAGTCCTCTAGCTGACAGCTCAGGCCTCCCTCAATGTCCTCGCCAGCAGCTAAAGGGACCCAGCCTGTCCTTGGGCGGCCAAGGGCACTTGGCCTGGGGGAGAGGCTGCTGGAACTGCTGGCTGGGGGAACGGCATGGCTGCCTGTGTGGGTGTGGCTGCCTTCCTGCTCTTACCCAGCATTTCTTTGGGGTCTCGGCCCCTGGTGAGGGTCTCTGCCAAGCAGGCTTGGCTGCCCAGGGACCCCACAGCAGATGAAGCAGTGTCTAGGAGCTCATCCAGACCCACAGAGAGCTGCCCCGACCCTCCCCGGCTCCCTGCACACCCAAAGCTCTGCACTCCCTCCCAGGGCTCTCCCCGACTGCCAGAGACATCCTCATCAGCCCAGAACCCTGTGTCCAAAGCAGGATTCTGCTCCCCCGAGGAACTGAGGAGCATCACGTCTGTGTCGCCAGTGGCCAGCAGCCCTGACAGACCCTCCCTGGCCACAGAGGCCACTCTGGATGGAGCTGTGGGCTGCACTGGTGGCTCTGGGAGCCCTCCAGGGCCTCTGCCTGACCCTGCGCTCGAGGAAGACCCTGGCCAGCTGACAGGTTCAGGCCACTGGCTGCCTCCGGCCTCATCCTCTGCTACAGAACTAGACCTTCCCAACTGGTCCTCAAGGCTTCCACCTGGTCTAGCTGCTCCTGGGCAGAGCCCCAACTTCTGGGGTGCCTCGGACTCCTGGGGCCCGGGGAACAGGGCCTCCAGCAGACTCTCCTCAGACAAGGAGGATAAGTCCTGGGTGGTGACAGCCGTGTCCTCCCCAAGGGGCCCCAGGGGCGGGGAAGGGAAGGTATCCGAGCCTGGGGTAGTAGTGTCTTCGGCGTCACTCTGTGCGTGGGGGGTGGGAAGGGGTGGGGGCAGCGGGGCCTCCCTATGGATGGAGGACGGGAGGTCGGCACTGCCGTAGGACAGCACCTCGTCCACGGGAGACCGGATCTCAGTCAGGATGCCGCGGGCAAGTCGGGGACAGGCTTCTTCCAGGACAGCGGGGGCTCCGTTCCCGCCAGGCCCAGGTGCCCGGCTCTCAGCTGCTGGGGGTGCCAGCCTGCCAGGGTCCCCAGGAGGAGCCTGCAGGGTCACCAAGGTCTTGGGCTCTGGCGTGAGGTGCAGGGGTTTGCTCTTGGTGGACAGACTGGAAGTCTCTCCTCCTCTGCCCAAATCCGCCCCTTCCCCCTCAGAGGTCCCCAAAGGAAAGGCCGGCAGTGAGTCTGAGTCACCAGGGGAAGGGATTTGGGGTGGGAACACCACACGGGCAGCCTCCGGGGGTGCCTGCTGAGCTTCTCCTGTGTCCGCCACCCCTGTCAGGCTCTTGCCGGTCCCAGAAGCTTCCTGCACCTTCCAGGGCTGTGTGGAGGGAAGAGCCATCTGGGGCTCCATGCCGCTTTTGGGGTCTGATGAGCCACCTGCAGGCAGGAAGCTCACTGAGGCCAGGTCGGCATCGGGACACGGTTCCAGCAGGTCCTCCTCGCTGTCCTTGCCCCAGACTTTGCTGGAGGCCTCTGACAGTTCTGACCCTGACCTTGGAGAGGGGACATCTGGGAAAGGCAGCAGCTGGCCCACCTCCGGGTGTTGCTCAGGCTCTGAATCTCCTGCCATGGCCGTGTCCACGAAGCAGCCCTGCAGGGGTCGGGCCCGACTGCCTCGAGGCCTCTGCCAGGTCAGCAGTCCTCCACCCCCAGGAATGCTGCCGGGCCAAAGCTCACCCCGGTCTGTCGCCCAGGACAAAGGCGACCCAGCTTCCTCCAAGGAGCGTTGGGGAGAGAGCTCCCCAGGCCAGCTGATACCTTCCTCTGGGGAGTCTTCAGCTTCCAAACCTGTCTCCCCAGGTGATGTGTCCTGTGAAAGAGAGCTGGAGCTGTCAGAAAGCTGGATCAAGGTGGCCGCTGCTTTCTGGAACTCCCAGAGAAAGGGACAGGACAGGTGCCTCACAGAGGCTGCTGGGGAGGTGTAGGATGACTCTGTGGCTTCTTCTGAAGGCCCACGGCAGGTTCCGGAAGCAGATTCAGAGCCCGGTGCCCAGGAGGAGAAGGCGGGGAGCAGGGGACTGCCTGGGAGCAGGATGGGGGGCGCCGCCTCCTCAGGAGCCACAGGAGCTGCCAAGAGAGGGGACGATCAGCGGTTGTCACCCTCTGCACCCTGGACCCCCCACATATCCCACGACCCCCAAAGCCAGGAGATCAGAACAGAAAACACCCTGTTTTCACCAAGGTGAAACAGGAAAAGCTACTAAGGGTGCCAGTGTGTTCGACCCTTTCGATTCCAACACAGTGGTTCACCACGCCCACCCCCACCCCCACCCACATGCAATGAGTCATGTCCAGGGGCCTTGCCGAGCCTCCGGGACCCAGCCTTGCAGCACCGCAGAGGTGGTTCAAGGACTAACTGGTTGACTTTGCCTAGTTTTGTTTTCATTAGTGATGTGGGTGGATCCCGACAGAGGACCCCTGGTTGTCATTCACCTCCCCTGACACTCCGTGATGGGGAGGTGCGTGGGCGAGCCCCCAGCTGGGCAGTGGGGAAGGCAGGGGCTGCGTGCTGTGGGGAGAAGCCGGCTCTGACATAGAAATGGCCTTGGGGAACCCTTAGTGGGGACTCAATGGCTGAGGGAGGGGTTGGGGATCGAGGTATCACCTGGGGAGACAGCTGCCTGGGCAGCTTCCAGCCTGACGGAGATGCCGGGGACCTCCCGCTGACAGGCCTCTGTCCTGCAAGCACATTCGTGGAGAACCATGGGGGATCCTCGTCCTCCCAGCCCCTTCCCCAGGCCCCACTGTCAGGGACCCTGCCAGGCTCAGTCCACACCCCACACTCGAAAAACACCCCAGCCGTCCTCTGCCACCACCTGAGGTGACCCTGAGCGCAAGGGCCCGGGGGCTTATCTTTGGGGGTATCCAGTCTCAGAACCACCGGATCAGGTGGCAGAGAGGGGTGGGGCTGCCACTCCCAGGGGTTTCCAGGGCCCCTCTGCTGACCTCAGGCCGATTCATGGGTGATATCTTTATTTCCAAAAGTGGGTCAGACCCAGGAGGGCTCAGGGTGAGTGCACAGCTGTGCCCCGGCAGCACAGGGGTGCCAGGAGAGAGTGAGGCCCCACAGCAGGAGGACAGGCAGTGCTGGCCGAACCTATCTCTGTGCCTCAGGCTCCACCCCTGCCCCAGGTCCCACCAGCTCCAGGGACCCCAGCCCCACACCTCTGCTCCCCCGATCGCCAGCTCTCGGTTTCCTGGGACTCCTCCACGGGGCTCTCAGCAAAATCCTGAGCCAGTTCCCAGCCTTCTTGGCTCATGCTGCCCTCAGCCACCTGCTGGAGATACGTAGGAGAAATGACACAGTCGGGTGTGGCCTCTGTCTCTGTCCACCTCCCGCAGCTGGATGCAGCCCCTGGATGCAGCTTCCAGCAACCATGAGTGGTTAAGGAACAAAGACCACCGTGAAGGAGGGCCATGGAGACCCCCACTCGTCAGATCCCCCCCACCCTCAGTGGGTCCTGCCGCCATAAAAAGAAGTCTGTTTTTCTGCACAGGTGTTGAGTCTTAGGGTGAGCCCAGAGGAGCGGCAAACCTCAGCACTGAAGGTAGCTGCCAGGAAGGGCCCTGAGGCACTCATGAGACGGATTAGGAGACCCCCAGGGCCACAGCAAGGCGGACCCCACTCAGCCCACAGGAAGCGCACGGCCACACCCGACTCACACTGGCTTCCTGGGGGCCACAAGGACCCTCTCTGTCCCCGGAGCGACGGCTGCATTCCCTGAAGCTCTCCCCATGGCTGTCTGTCGGAGCCAGGGGCTTCCCTGCTAAGGAAGGGCTGGGCTTGGTCTGAGGGTCTCCTGCAGGCCAAAGGGACTGTCAGCACTGGTGGGGACAGAAGCAGGGGGCAGATGGAGCAGCTCCCAGGAATTCCAAAGCCACATGAAAACAAATCTTAAAATCCACAGTGGACGCCCACCTTTCTGCAGGACTTGGTTGGTATGAGGGTGAAACTGACACGGTAGTTTGCTCCTAAAATGACCCTGTCATTGGATGATCAATGATCTGAAGTCCCAGCCAACAGTTTATAGAGAAAAGTCGTTTTGAAGTTAGGGGCCTCTTTCCCTCCCTGGGGGAAACCCTTTGCCAGAGCTTGTCCTTCCTCCTCGGTGCCATTCAAAGAGACTCTGATTCGAGGCAGGGGTGGCGCAGAGGGCTGTGGGGACAGGCCTCGGACACACCAAGGTCACCAGTGCATGGCTGGGGGATCGCAAAGGGGGAAAATGGGGCAGGTGGGGCTGCAGCAGAGCCTTCCCCAGGAGCACTGGGCCTTCCCCGCATTTCACCTCCGTCTCTCTAGATTTTCGTTCTGTGCTGGGCCTCGGCAGGGTCAGGGGACTCTGAGGGCCAAGGCCACCTGGCTGAGGGACCCAGAGCTGTGAGGCTAAAGCAGAAGGGGGTGGAAGTTTCATCAATGGGAACACCTGCCCTCTTGCCCATGGCCCTGAGCTACCCCAATGACACGATGGGGCCCCTGTGAGTGCAGTCTTCCGATCAGAGAGCGGCCGGCACTCCAGCCAGGCAGACCCAGGGCAAGCCCCAGACCACCTGAGAACATAGCTCAGGCTGCAGGGTGGGCACAATGAGCAAGTGAATCCAGAGGCCACGAGCACCCATGGTGGCTGCAGGTGCCTGGCTGGTGCCCAGAATGGTGAGAGCTGGTTCACGTGGCCATGTGGTGAGGGAGGCTTCAGGCTGAGCAAGCTTCACGGTGGCTGCAGAAGCCTGAACTGCAGCATGCCGGGGAGCGAGGCGGGACACGGGGGAGGCCTCCAAGGAACAAGCTCTGTATTCACTCCGCCTCCCAGCGCCACTGACCTCTCTAGGGCCCTCCCCACTGCTGGCCACGCTCTCCTGGGCAACCCACAAGTGTTTCTAACCTTTTCCCATCTCAACCTGTCTGTCCTGAGGTTTGCTCTCCCTGGCCCCGACTGCAGGGAACCCCCAGTCTGGCAGACCCTCAGGTATGAATGGTCTCCCTGCTTCCAAGGGTGGACACTGAGTGGGGGCCATCTGAATTTGGCACCCGAGGCTGGTCAGGGAGCTCCAAGGTGGTATCGCAGGCCGCGAGACCCCCCACTGTACAGCCGGTGGCTACCAGGGCTCCCCCACGCCGTGAGCGCATCTCCTCCCGCCCGGCCTGCAAATGGGGGACGTGGCTCTCCGGGAGGCCCCGGGCCAAGTGTAAGGTTCAGAAAAGAAAAATGTCATCGGTGCAAAGACCTCTATACACAGAAGACGCTCGGGCAGTGCTGGCTTCCAAATGCTTAAAAATCTGCCCCAGATTAATGAAGTCGCAGCTGAAACAACCCCAGCCAGTTACGACTTTTAATTTCCCCAGAAAAGCCACTGCATCACCTCCGGTAGGAGATGGAGCCAGCCACTCTTCTTGCCGTGAAGGGGTCCAAGGCCAGGGTGGCAGGCCACCAGGGCCGGTCTTGTTCGCTTTTCGTCCTTGTCCGGCGGCTGAGCTCCAGCCTCAGACGGGATCCGCCAGAAGTGGGGAGAGCGTCCGGTGCTCCAGAGGCCCTCATGCTGATTCCAGGGTGCTTACCTGGCGGCGGCTCCTTCGCCTCCCACGGCCTGCGCTGAGCTGTGGGAAGGCACCCCTCCGCCTCCTCGGCCTCCATGGTGAGACAGGGGTGTGGACGTGGCACAGGGCCCTGGGGGGAGGACACCAAGGGCCAGGGATGAACAGAGATGTTTGGGGACAGATGGGGACAGACTGGGGTTCATGGGACCGACAAGGGCGGACAGGGACAGATGAGGTCGGATAGGGACCCACTGCAGGAACCAAGGACGGGACATGGGAACCAAGGGTCCCCAACCAAGATCAAGTCGCAGGTTGGCAGAATGGTCGGGGGGTGGGGGTTGGTCCCTGAAACAGGCGGTGCTGAGGAAAGGACTTCCAGGGATTGCACGTACGGGAAAGGCTGGGCCCAGCTGCCATCTGTCAGGGGGGCTCTCGTGTTGCAGACCCGACAGAGGGACCCGAGGCTGCTCCCCAGGTTCTGAAAGACACAGTCCCGGGAATCACCAGCAGTGATCACTGACTGAGGCCAGGAAGGGAAGGGATGAGTCGGGGGCAAATGAACTGTCAGGTGGGGGCTGCCTGTGTGGGGAGTGGGGAGGGTGTCGCCACAGGCTGTCCTGTTCCAGGCAGGATGGATGGCAAACAAGCTAACCTTGAGGGAGACGGTGATGGCCTGGGGCCACATCCGGCCCTCTGCCCTGCCCTGTCCCCTGCCTGGAGGCCCGAGGGTCTGCTCAGCTCCAGGCCTGGAAAAGGTGGCGTCCGAGACCCTCAAATCTTCCTTTTGCCCTGGGCAGAGGCTCTCTGCCAGCCTGTTTCTGGGAACTGCCTGACAACAGTCTGAGGCCTGCACGTGGCCTAGGCGCCCCCCTATCAGGAGCCCTTTGCTGAGCAGAACCTGTCTGGGTGGTTTCTGGCCTGCGCACCCACCCGCTCTGTATCTTGGGAATGCTGGCTTCGTGTGCACTGGGGTGGCCCACTGTGTGCTCTGCTGCACTGGGAGGCAGAGACGGGGAGGCCAGGGGAGGCCCAGTCACACTCGGGGTGCAGCAGGCCAGAACACGAGCCTACCTGACCCTGAGCCTGATGCCACCCCACATCGCCCAGCGCCCACGGAATGCGAGGCCGTCTGTCCCTGGGGGGTCACCACGGCTGCTCTGTTACCTTGGCTGATGTGGCTGCCATTCCCCACCAGCGGGCCCCGGGGGTCCAGTGTGTCCTCTCCCCACGCCGAACTCGGAGGCTGCTGGTGACCGTCCGTGTGGGAGGCTATCTGGGGCACCATCACATCCTGGGGTTGCTCTCCGGGAGGGCTGCATGGCCGTGCCGAGTGGAGGTGACTGCCCGCCCAGCTGCCCCTTCCCAGGTGTCCAGCCCTGGCCACAACCTCCACCAGCTCCCCATCCCTGGGAACAACCTCACATCACATCCAGGGGTGGCCTTGGTCAGTGGCTAAGCAGAAGACAGGATTCTGACCCCCTTGCCTGGGCAAGGTAGGTGGGAGAGGCCTGTGGCTCCCCAGCGTGTGGCCCTTGAGGCTTCTGCCTGGAGACGGACCGTCCCCTCCCAGGTGCACAGGCTGGGCTCTGGGAAGCCTGGCGCCGCCCCCAGCCTAAGCTGACCTCCAGGCCCCCCGTCTGGTCTGCCCCTGCCTGGGTCACACTGCTGGGGTGGCAAGAAGCCTCTCTGCTCTCAGGTGCTGGTCCCACGACATGACATGCGCCTCCCTTTCTTCTCCAGGCACTGGCCACACCTGGGCACAGCTCGCTGCCCCACCCAAGGGTGACCCTGAGCATTTCCCCCAGATTCACAGGCAGTCAGGGGTGGGCAGGAGGTGCTGGTTCGGAGGCGGGCCCTAAGGGCCTGGAAGCCCTGTCTCCCGAGGTAGATGGCTGAGGGGTTGAAGCCCGCACTCTCACTGAGGCAGGACCCAGAGGGCCCCTCAACACCAGTGTGTGCCCCACACAGGCTCTGGAGGGAGATGGGGCAGTGCCCCCAGGGCCTGCCACCCAGCCCCCAAAGCAGAGCAAGGCACTGTGCTCCCGGAGCTGCCCCAGAAACAGAACAGGCTGAATAAAAATGGAACAGGAGCCCCTGGCCCCTTCTAAAGGAGTCATTCCCCTCCTCGCGCCCTCCCCGGCACACGTGTCTCAGCCAAGGACCCCGAGGCAGCTCCATCTGCTCTGTGCGGCTTCTCCCTGGCTCTCCTGGTGTTGGGGGTGCAGACGCTTGCTCAAGGACACACCCCGAGGGGCTTCTCTCCACCGAAGCAGTGAAGGAGGGCAGCGCGCCTGCTCCTAAGAGGCAGGACCCCCAGCAGAACACCACAGGCGATTTCTCGGGGGTTGGGGCCCAGGGAGCCCAAGTTTCCCCTGTGAATGCCTCACGTTTCTCTATTTTCCAGCTGTGGACAAGGCTACGCATCGCTGGTGTGACAAGCAGAGCCCAGGGTGAACCCCTCTGCCAGGAGGATGGGCTGACCTTGCCGTAGGGTCCGGGCCTGCAACCACACGGCTACCAGCCCCTGGCCCCTCCAGCCCCATAAGGAAACTCTGGGGGACTTCGAGGTGGTAGCCAACCTGGAAGCCTCTTCAGAGACTCCTGGGACTGGATGCCTGATCAGTGACTGCCCAGGCTTCTTTGAAAGCTTTGGGAAGAGCTCAAAGAGCTAATGGCTGAGGCTGAGAGGCTGACTCCCCTCCCTGCAGAGGCCCCTCTGGGCTGGGAAAGAGCTTTGGGGCACTCCCCTAGGCAAGCAGGGGCCTGCAAAGGCTGCTCGCCGCTGCGTCTGCACTGCCCCTTCGCTTTGCTGCTTCTAGGGGTTCCCTGATAGAGTCTTGAGGTCTGCCAGCCCTGGGGGCCTGAGCTTGGGGAAGAGAAGGACTCCCCCACCCTCCAGGGCCATTTTGAGCCCAGCGGGAAGAGCCGTTCCCAGCATCAGGAAGCCAGGAGGCCCGTGACGGGAAAAGCAGCTGCTCCTCGCACAGCCAGGCTCTCGGGCAGGTGACCCCGGTCATCATACCCTTCCCTGCTCCATGGGGACAGTCCAGGCAGAGCCCCTGGTGTCCTCTAATGAGGTGCTTTTGCTGCAAACCAAAGCCAAAGGCCATATGGCCAGGGCTCAGAGAAGGTGAAGCCGCCCCAAGCCACCCTGGGAGGGGGTGCCTAGGGCTACATGTGCCACCTCTGGCCCCTGAATCAGGTCTGTCCACCAGCTGTGCCCCACAGTGTCCCACACAACTGAGGGCAGGAGAGCACCCCATCCCTATTCCCCAGGCGAGGAAACAGGCCGAGAGGGTCCCTCCTTGTGGCCACACTCTGGCCAGCTGCAGAGCCAGGAAAGTGCTGCCAGCTGCTGGGGCTCCTCCCATGATGCTCGGGCAGCTCCAGCACCCACTGGGCCCGGTCAGTGCCCTCAATGCCCACCCCTTCCATCCTCCCAGGCACAGTGGGGATGGGGCTCAGTGAGTGCCGGCCGCCCTATGTGGGAAAGGCCTCTCAGGCCAACATGAGGGTCCGGACCCCTCCCCCGGGACTCCCCAGACCAACCAACTCACTGTGTGTCCTTTGAGCTCGAAGGGCTGCTCTGTGGGTGGCAGCCGGCAGGGCTGCTGGGCCTGTGTGGTATCAGGGAACATGGGGAGGGCTCCAGCCTCAGGCTTGTCTCTAAGCTTTCCTCCCAGGTGGCCTTGACTTTGGGGCCGGGACCCTGCGAGAAACAGGAGAGTCTGGCGTGGCCGCCTCTGCCCATTCCTCCTCGGAAAAGCCAGTGCTGGGCTGCACGTGCCAGTGGCCGCGGTAGGGCTGGTGTGGTGCCCCAGCCGCTTGCTCCCCTTCGGGATGCCAGGCTGAAATGGGGCCTCCCTTTGAACGGGTGTCCTGCACCCCCACTGAGAGGTGTGGACGGGAGGCCCAAAGTGAGAAGTCTTTGCCCAAGACCAGCCGGAGACCCCCATGGCCAGCTCTGGGGATTGGAATCAGGTTGCTGGGGTTCCCTCTCCTGCGGCCCAGCCTGGAGCAGATGCTTCAGAGAGCTCATATCATTCCATCCTCACCCCCACCCTCCAAGTGAGCCAGCCACCCTCCGCACCTTACAGAGAAGACGCACAGGTCAGGGAGGCACACAGCTTGCCTGGGGATGGCCCCCAGCCTTGTCCACACAGCTCCCCAGTCAGCTGGTGGACATGGGAGCAGGAGGGGACAGTCCCCCACCCTCATCCACACAGCTCTCCACTCCGTCAGCCGGAGGAGATGGGAGCAGGAGCCTCCCTCCAAGGATGCAGCTGCTGCTTGGGGTCCCCAACGGGCTGGCCTCCCTAGGAAGCTCCCAGCCACACTCTCCTTTCTGCCTGGGTCCCACGAGATCCCCAGTCCTGCTCATCCTCCCGCCCCAACCACTGCTGCCCCCACCTGAAGACTGGCTCTGCTCTAGGGCCTGGCCAGGACCACCCCATCCAGAAAGCCTCCTTGGCCCCCCAGCTGTGGCCCCTCCCTCCCTCCATTGCCCCACCCCACCCCCACAGCAAGTCAGCCTGGGGCCACAGGCATTTTTACAAGGGACTTGCAAGATCCCAGGAAGTGGCCAGGGTTGACAGCATTTCCTGAGCTGAGCCCCAGAGCAGGTGAGAGCGCCCACCTGCGGCAGCTTGGCCTGGGCCTGCAGCTCGAGGAAGGGGAGGGCGTCCTCGGGCCTCGGCGTGGGGGGGACATCCGCAGGCCTCGGCGTCGGGGGGATGTCCAGTCTCAACGTGGGGGAGACGTCTGTGGGCCTCGGTGTCGGGGGGATGTCCAAGGGGCTCCGTGTAGGGGGGACATTCATTGGGCTCAGCGTAGGGAGGACATCTGCAGGCCTCGGGGTGGGGAGGGCGTCCGAGGGCCTCGGCGTGGGGAAGGGCGTCCGAGGGCCTCGGGGTGGGGAGGGCGTCCTCGGGCCTCGGGGTGGGGAGGGCGCCCTCGGGCCTCGGCATGGGGAGGGCGTCCGAGGGCCTCGGCGTGGGGAGGGCGTCCTCGGGCCTCGGTGTGGGGAGGGCGTCCTCGGGCCTCGGGGTGGGGAGGGCGTCCTCGGGCCTCGGCGTGGGGAGGGCGTCCTCGGGCCTCGGGGTGGGGAGGGCGTCCTCGGGCCTCGGCGTGGGGAGGGCGTCCTCGGGCCTCGGCGTGGGGAGGGCGTCCTCGGGCCTCGGCGTGGGGAGGGTGTCCTCGGGCCTCGGGGTGGGGAGGGCGTCTGAGGGCCTCAGCGTGGGGAGGGCGTCCTCGAGCCTCGGTGTGGGGAGGGCGTCCTCGGGCCTCGGGGTGGGGAGGGCGTCCTCGGACCTCGGCGTGGAGACGTCCCTCTGCTGCTGCAGGAGCCGCGTCCTGTCCCGGTGCCTGAGCAGGTGCGTGTGCCACAGGTATCGGATTTCCCTCTGAGCCGGGTGGAAGGAGCAGGTGTTAGCAGAACCCGGAGCCAGCAGGGGAAAAGGCCAACGAAAGGGAAAGGGAATCTAGTGGGATGCCCTGGCCTCGCACTGTGGGGCCTCCCTTCCCCCAGTTGGCCTTCGCCCACCCCTCCTGCCTAGGATACCCCCATGGCCTTGGGCTTCCCTGGGCTTGGTGGGGGAGGCAGCTGCGGACAGCTGGATGCGGAGGGAGGCAGGTACTCATATTTGGGGCCCGAGCAGGGCTGGCACAGGTGGCCAGGGCCTCACCCTCCCTCTCTCCAGGCTCTGGGCAATGCCCCCCCCGTTGCTCCTTTTACGACTGTTCTGTTCCCCACAGCGTCCCTGGTGGACGCACCTTTGTAACCGTGCACAGAGCCCAGGCCAGGCCCTTGCACACCCGCCCTGTGAGACGGCAGCCGAGGCCCTGCTGAGGGAGTGTCTCATCCACGGCCCCACTGTGGGGGGCTCAGACTCCACCTCCACCACGGCGTTTCTGCCTATGACAGCCGGGCTACGGCTGGGTGTCCCTGCCCCTGGCCAGCTCTAGGCCTCCTGCCTGGGCTCCCTAGGCAGGGCCTGTTCTTCCAGGCTCCCTCCTTGCCAGGTGACAAGTGAATCCCCTTCTAAGCCCCTTTATTTCCACGGCTCTCACTGTTCCCTGTGCTGCCTGCCTTTTTCTGTTTCCCTATATCCGAGAGGACCCGTGCCTGGGTCTGTGGCTGGGTCTCCACCCCCAGCTCCTTTGCCTGGGACGCCCCACACCTGACACCCCAAGGTGGAGATCTTGGGCGTTCCAGTCAGCACCACCCCTCTTCCCCGAGGAGGGTCCTGGGCACAGTAAGTTCCCCACCCCAGCCTCAGTTTCTTTTTTCTTTTTTTTTTTTGAAACAAGGTCTCACTCTGTTGCCCAGTGTTGCCCAGGCTGGAGTGCAGTGGTGCAGTCTCAGCTCACCACAGCCTCGACCTCCCAAGCTCAAGCGGTCCTCCCACCTCAGTCCACCAAGTAGCTGGGACTACAAGCATTGGCCACCTGTAGTGGCAGGTTTATTTTTGGTAGTGACAGGGTCTTGCCGTGTTGCCCAGGCTGGTCGCACATTCCTGGGCTCAGGCAATCCTCCTACTTTGGCCTCCCAAAGTGCTGGAATTACAGGTATGAACCGCCTCACTCGGCCAGGTTTCTTGATCTGTACCAAGGGTGTTGGCACCAGCCCCTGCCCCACAGCCTGGGGGCACTGAAGTGAGGATGCGGGCACAGCGTGCCTGACCTGTAAGGAGCCCTCGAGCCTGTGACCTGAGCGGGGGCCGGTAAGGGTCCTCGCCCTGGCTCTCAGGCTTGCTCCCCAGTCTCGCTCTCCGCCGAAAGCACAGCCCTGACTCGGGCAGCTGTCCCCCTCCACTCCTGCGTCCAGCACTGACTCTCCCTGGGGGTCTGCTTCCTCCAGGCCTGGTGACAACAATGGCCTGGAAGGCAGGAGCAGCCACCGACTGAGACCCACCCTGCCAGGCGCGTCTGGGGAGCAGCCCGCTCCACCCTCACGGACCCCATGCATGTGCACATCAGGTTTCTCATTTTTCAGATGAGGGAACTGGGCTCAGAGCAGAGGGGAAAGTCCTCTGGCGTCGTACACGGGCACACATCCACCCAGGGAAGTGCTGACTGCACCAAACTCTCCCAATCCCCTGCTTACAGGTACTACAATTATTCTCCTGTTCCAAGAGGAAACCGAGCCTCCAAGAGACAAAGCCACTTGCCCGAGGTGACATCCAGCAAAAGTCTGAGCCTGGCCTGGAGCCAAGGCCACAGGGCCACCATCCACCCTGGCTACGATGCCACAGACACTCCTTGTGTACGGGGCCAGCGCTCCACCCTGGCCGTGATGCCCCCTCAGGCCATAGACACTCCTCACGTACTGCAGGGTCCTGCGTGGCCCTGGAGGTTGGCAAGGGCTTGGGAATTCTTTAGCTGTGGTGCTGGGGGATGTTCAGATTCCAGGCAAGAAGAGGACAGGGCCGCCACTTCTATGTGCCACCTCCCCCAACCCGACAGGTCTGTGCTGCCCCCACCTGCTCCTTCTCGAATCTGCTGAGGGCTTGCTGCTGCTTCTCCGCCAGCACGGCCAGCAGGGCTCCGTCCCTCTTGCTGTCCAGGCACCTGGGGGAGGTGGCAACATCACTGCCAATCTTGACAGCACGTGCAAGTGGATATAGAAGGTCACAGACACAGCCAGCCCTGGTCAGGCCACATCCACCTGGAATGCTCTCCCAAGGTGTGGGCACTGGGGAGGAGGCAGCCGAGTGTAGACAGAATCAGCAGCCTTGGGGTGGCCAGATGGCCCCAGGCCGGGCTGTCACTCTTCCACCCTTCACAGCCACTTTTGGACTTTTGGGTCTAAAGAGACAAAGGCTGAGAGGAGCCCCTCCCACCTCGGAGACCCAGCTCAGGCCAGTGGGTCCTCTGAGGAGGGAAGTGGGGGTCACCTCCCATCATGGAACCCAACACCCTCAGCCTGGCCTGCTCAGACACCGAGTGAGGATGTTAACTCGAATCACCTTTCTGGGGACCAATCTGGCATTATCAAGAGGCTTCCAAATGCATCCTCACTGACACGGTTATCCCACTTCTAAGGTTTTAATTAAGGAAATGATCATTAACAATGGCCAAAAGTTGGAGACAACCTAGAACCCAAGAGCCGGGACAGGCTAAGGGAGGTAGAGCCCCGTGTGGCCGCGGTGCACCCTGCGTGTTACAGCCGTCACGGAGCCACACCGAAAGGTTTTGTAAACGAGGCCCATTTGCAACGTTGCACTAGCCATGTGTTTATCCCCAAAACAGAGCATGCGCAAAGATGATCTCAGCGGTCATCTTCGGGATGACGGGGTTTTTGTTGGTTGAGTACTTTACTGTCGTATCTAAGTTTCCGCAAACACCTATTATTATTTGGACCAGTACCCTTCGCTCCAAAACGCTGTCCGGGGCCAAGGGAGGGATCCCGGGCGGGGCGGGGAGGGGAGGGGCGGGGCCGCGGAGGGACGGGGCCGGCGCAGGGCGCATGCGCTCACCCTCGCCGATGCTCCAGCGAGGCCAGCTCGGCGAGCGTTCTCTCCCGGAGCGCCGTCTCGCGCAGGCGCAGCAGCGCCGCCTGGTGCTGCGCTCGCAGCTCCTCCTCCCGCAGGCTCCGCTCCCACGTCTGCAGCTTGAAGCGGCCCGAGGCTCCCAAAGCTCCAGGTTCGGTGCTTCCGGGCCTCGCGGGGCTCCACTAGGGCGAGCCGACTAGGCTTTGTCACTGCCTAGCTTCTGAGCCGCTCCCGGCACTGGCCGCCGCCTCCGGGAAGCCCTCTCGGACTGCCCGCCCCGCTCGTCCCCCATGCCGCGCCCGTCTTTCCCCGACTGTAAGCTCCCGGGGCAGGCGGGGCAGGCAGGATCCTCATCATCTCGGCCTCGGCCCAGCCCCGATCCAGCCACCTGCCTTAAAATGTACAACCTGGGCAGGGGTCAGTCTGCCCAAAGCCACACGCTGATTTAAATGTCTGCCCTCCTCTGTCACCGAGGGTGGGAGGAACGGGCCTGGGAAGCTGTCCGCTGGAAGACCCTCCCAACCCAGGACCTGCCTTAGCGCTGCGCAATGGAGGGGCAGTTGGGTCCAGCTGGGCCCTGAAATTGCGCCCCTCCCCCAGGGACCTCTCCGCGTACGTACCTGGTGGGCGGGGGTATCCGGAGGGACGAGCTTGGCCAGGGACAGCTGGGATAGGGTTCCGTCAGGGCCCCCCACCTCTGAGGAAGGAGGCACCATGGTTGGGTCATGTAGGGGGTCAGGGACCATTTCTACAGGAGGGCCTCACGAAGGTTGGTCTGCGGCAGTTTCCTGTCCCCACCCCCTCCCGGACACACAAGGCTTCACACAGAATCTTCAGGAGACCACGCGGGAAGGGACGGGGTCTCATGTGACCCACCAATCGTGGGAAAGACCAGACCAAAAGTGGAGGGAGCTCAGGGAGGACAGCCCAGCGACTCTGCTTCTACAGGAGGGGAGACTGAGGCCCGGAGAGGGGAAGCGGCTGTTTGCGGTCCAGCACCAAGGAGCTGGCAGGTGACCGCAGAGCCTGGGTCCCCAGCGGAAGCAGCCACCCTGCTGCCCGGCCTCTACTGGCCACGCTTCCGTACCGGGAGGGATGGAAAAGGAGCCTCTGCTTCAAAAGACACTTACAGACTTACCCTCCCCACAAAGAGAGGGCAAAAGGGACTGGATTTCGGCTTTGCCATCCCATCTGCCTCAAGTAAACAAATCACATAAATATACACACACATATGTGTAGATACATGGAGGTGTGTGTGTATGTGTTTTCACACACATATGTGAAAGAAGTTTTCCAGACACTGGATGTGAGGCAACATAGCACAGTGATCCCTGAGAGACAGAAAACAACGGAGGTGAGACCAACAATGTTCACAAATTACTGCCTGGGAGAGTTGCTGAGCCACGTGCGGGGATGGGAAGATGGCGGAGCTGGTGGACTCCCTGAGTAGAGGAGACAGAGCCCAGAGTCTGGGGGGACCAAGGCAGCTGGAGTTCATGGGGGCAGAATGTCAGAGAAGAGAGGGTCACACAGGACAGGGCCTCCCAGATCTAGGAAGTGTGCCCCTTGGAATGTTCATCAGAGAACTGATGGAGGAATGTGCACATCCAGAAGCTACCAGATGCCAGGATAGAAGCATCCGAAGGACCAGAAGCCTGGGAATGGTGCCTGTTTCCAGTAGCCAGGCTGGAGGACCTGAGGACTGCCAGGTCACTGGCCAGGCAGCGGACACAGAACATTCTTGCCTTGACTGTGGGAAATAATTAGCCCCAGGCTAAGCACTGATTCAGAGCAAGCTAACACACTATTAACACAAAGTCTGAAAGGATCAAATTACTTCCAAGTAACTGGATTCCAAAACAAAGCTTAAGACTGTTTACAGGGTGGAGTGCGGGTGGCTCACGCCTGTAATCCCAGCACTTTGAGAGGCTGAGGTGGGCAGATCACAAGGTCAGGAGATCGAGACCATCCTGACCAACATGGTGAAACTCTGTCTCTACTAAAATACAAAAAAATTAGCCGGGCATGGTGGTGGACAACTGTAGCCCCAGCTACTCAGGAGGCTGAGGCAGAAGAATCACTGAACCCAGGAGGCAGAGGTGGCAGTCAGCCGAGATTGTGCCATTGCACTCCAGCCCAGGTGACAGAGCCAGACTCCATCTCAAAGAAGAAAAAAGGATGTTTATAGGAATACAAAAATATCTAGTGCTCAGAAGGTAAAATTCACAACGTCCAGAAGATATGCAAAGAAACCAAAAACCCCAGTCCGTAAGGAGCTGGGTAGTTTATTGACACTGACCCAGGCATGATGTGGGTGTGAGGATTGGCAGAGGAGGAGATGAGAAGTTTCATAACTGTATCCCACATGTTTAAGATGTTAAGGAGAGCCACAGAGGATATAAAATGAAAAGATCCAAATGGAATGTACGGACTGATGAAAATTAAAACACTTGAGATGAAAAACGCACTGGATGAGATTAAGGGCAGAGGAGAGACAAACAAACTGGAAGATACAGCACTAGAAACTGGCCAAAAAGAAACAGAGAAATAAAAGAATAAGAACTTCAGTCAGCTCACAACTTCGAGTGGCCCAATATATGGGTAATTGGAGTCCCTGAAGGAGAGGCGAGAGAGAGAGGAGCAAAAAGAACAAATGATGGCTGAACTATTTCTGAATTTGAAGAAAATGATAAATCCACAGGTCCAAGAATCTCAACAAACCCCAGGGACAAGAAACTCTGGGTACGGTAGCTCATGCCTATAATCTCAGCACTTTGGCAGGCTGAGGTGGGCGAATCACCTGAGGTCAAGAGTTCAAGATCAGCCTGGCCAACACAGTGAAACCCTATCTCTACAAAAATACAAAAATTAGCTGGGCATGGTGGCAAGTGTCTGTAATCCCAGCTACTTGGGAGGCTGAGGCATGAGAATCACTTGAACCTGAGAGGCAGAGGTTGTGCCAGTGCACTCCAGCCTGGGCGACAGAGTGAGACTCAGTCTTCAATAAGTAAAGAAGAAAAACAATAACAAAGGACATCGTAATAAAATCGTTCAAAACCAGTAACAGAGAAAGTCTTAAAGGCAGCCAGAGAAACACAGACGCAGTGATGTACCGAGGGACCAAGGAGGAGGATGGCAATCAATTTCTTGTCACCAACAATGCAGGCAAGAAGATGAGGAGCAGTGTCTTCAAGGGACTGAAAGGGAAAAAACTGGCCTAGAATTATATGTCCAGGAAAGAGTATGTCAAAGTCAGAGATGAGCTGAAGATGTCCTTAGACATGCAAAAGCTGAAGACCAGCAGACAGACATACGCTACCAGAGACGTTCAGGCAGCCTTCCAGCGGAAGGAAGAGGAGGCCACTTAGAAACCTACATCTACCCGAAGCAATGACAGATACCAGAAATGGGAAGACCTGACCCATGCAGATATAAGTCCAAACACATACATCATCTGAAACTTTTAACGAGATAATTGGCTGTTAAACAAAACGATAACAATGTACTACAGAGTTTATAGAACATTTAAAATAAGCCTGGGCAACATGGAGGAACCCTATCTCTACAAAAAATACAAAAATGGCCAGGCACGGTGGCGCAATCCTAGCACTTTGAGAGACCGAGGCAGGTGGATCACCTGAGGTCAGGAGTTTGAGACCAGCCTGGCCAACATGGTGAGATCCCATTTCTACTAAAAATACAAAAATTAGCTGGGTGTGGTGGTGCACACATGTAATCCCAGCTACTCAGGAGGCTGAGGCAGGAGAATTGTTTGAACCTGGGAGGTGGAGGTTGCAGTAAGCGGAGATTACTCCACTGCACTCCAGCCTGGGTGACGAGAGTGAGACTCCACCTAAAAAAAAAAAAAAAAAAAAAAAATGCATGACAGCAGTAACTTAAAGGCCAGGAAAGAAGAACTGGCCTCGTACTATAAGTGATCGGCTGTATATACTATTATAAACCCTAAAGTAGCCACAGTTATAGCGCTGAAGCCAACAATGGAGTTAAAGCAGAATCATAACAAATATTGCTTAATGCAAGGGGAGCAGAAACTAAATGGAAGAAGAAAATAAAGGACAGATGGAACAAGAGAAAAATAACCTAGGTGAGACTCCAGCCTACCACATCAGCTGTCACGTTCGGCGTGAATGCCGTTACTTGGAAGAAACCTGATCCTTACACTTAAGCACCCAAGTTAAAAGGCAGAGATTGCCAGGCTGATTTTTTTTTTTAAAGCAAAATCCAACTATAGGCTGCCTGTAAGAAACACACTTGAAATGCAAAGATGCAAATAAATTGAAAGTAAAAGGATGGCAACGGAGATACCACGAAACACCAGCTGAAAGAGAGCTGGAGTGGCTGTATTAATATCAGCCAAAGTCGACTTTGAAGCTGAGCATGCTGCTGTGGATAAGAGGATTGCTGCATAATGACAGAGGGGTTGGTTCATCAAGAGCACATCATAATCCCGAGCGTTTATGGGCCTAATGTCAGAGCTTCAAAATATGTGAAGCGAAACCTAATAGAACTGCAGGGAGAACTAGGAAATCACAGTCGGGTATTTCAATACCATCTCATATTCATCCAGAGGAGTATTAGGCAGAAAATGCACCAAGATGCAGTAGATTTGAAGAGCACCACCCACCACCCTGGTCTAAGCGATGCCATAGAACATTCCACCCAGAAACAACAGGATGTACATTGTTTCCAAGGAGCACCTGCTAACATAGACCGTGTTCCAGACTAAAGCCGGAGTCTGATGATGAGAGTCACACAGATGTGCTTTGTGAACACAGTGGAATCAAACTAGGAACGCACCGCAGGAGCCCAGCCTGGAGATGTGGGGACTGTGCCCGGCTGGGAAGTCGACGCATCTGCCATGATCACGGTGAGGGCTGAAGGCACCTCGTGGAGGTCTTGCCCGATGGCCTGCACGTGGACCCTTATTTGCTGACACACATGACATGGGAGGGGAGTCTGGACCAGCTTTCTGCACAGCCCACACGGAGAGGCTGTGCAGAGACCCTTCCCGTCAGGGAAAGCCACTCAAAGGGATAGAGGTGGCTATATCAGCAGGCCTGGAGCCAGGGAAGGGTCCCTGTTCCTGAAGATGCTGAAACAGGTTGTACCCAGGCTTCCAGGAGATGGCAGCCATCTAGAGGCCAGCCTAGAGGTCACGCCAACTCAGAGGAGCTGAGACCCGTCCCAGAGCAGGGCCAACAGCAGCCTGTGCTCGCCTGAATGGCCAAGCTTCCGCGTTTGTCCTCCCTGGGCTGTGGACCTCTCTCCCTGTCGGGCTGGTCCCCCAGCTCTAGGGAAGCTTTCCTGCTGAGCCCCTGACTCAGCTCCCCCAGGCTGGGTGGGTGGAGATGGTGTCTGCCAGCTGTCTAACCCAGTTTACCCAGGCTCAAGGGATGCCAGGGGCTGGGGCTGTCCGAGGGTCAGTCAGGCGAGCACTGGAGTCAGACAGACCTGCCTGTAGGTACTGGCTCCTGCTCGGCGTGGCCTTGGGCAACCGCCGTGGCCCCCTGTGCCTCCCCGTTTTGTACCTGCCTCGGGTACCCCCCTCCGCTTCACGCTGGCTGAGGGCTCTGCCTGCCTCAGGGCTGGGTGGAGTTTTGAGGACACGGCCACCTGCAGAGGCTGATCTGTCCTTGGGACCCTGGGAGGATGTGGCAGCGTCTGTCTCCAGAGGTGGGTGTGACCTGCAGGTAAGGACAGGTCCGGGAGACTCTGCATCAGTGCCCACAGTGCCCACCCCACTGCCATTGCCTGCAGTACCCACCACACTGCCAGCACCCACAGTGCCCACCCCATGCCCACAGTGCCTGCCCCATGCCAGTGCCTACCTCATGCCAGGCACCCACAGTGCCTGCCCCACACCAGTGCCTGCAATGCCCACCCCACTGCCTGTGCTGAGAGACTCCCACCCATCATTTCCACGTCGGGAGGGTGTGGCCAGCCCTAGCCTCTGGCCTACCTGGGTGTGGCCATTACTGTGCTCTGAGAGGCTGTGGTCTGCTCTCTGTCCTCAAAAATCTGAGGCTGCTCCAGCTTCGACACCTTCTCTGACCTGGCCTGGGTTGAGTGTCTCTCCATCAGCTGCTGTGGGAAGTTGGAGCGGGGGATTGCAGGAGTTGGTCCACAACTGGGCATTGGGTCTGGACAGCCAGGCCATGCCCGGTCCCAAGGAGGAGCCTGAAGCTGAGCAAGCCTCCAAGAGATAGAGGTGGTCATATCAGCAGGCCTGGAACTGCTGATACGCTGATATCCCCTCAGGGGCCTCTTTGCCTATCTTCCAAGTGGGGCGGACAGCCCCCTTTTGCCTGCCAGAGAGGCTGTTGCAGGGAAGCTGGGGTGGCCGGTGCCCAGCCAGAGCTGGAGGGTGTGGGAGCCAGGGGCTAGCTGCACAGAATATGGGTGGAAAGGGACCCCCAGCTCTGGTCCCGGCTGGGGGTGCTTGGAGAGCAGGCACAGGAGGGCAGCAAAGCCCATGATGGGGGAGCAGGGAGGAAACAGACAGGAATGCTGGCCCCGGCATCTGCGCTGCGGTGGGTCTGAGGCTGCCCGAGTGTGTACTCACACATGCACACACTGCATACACACACACACGTGTGCACACACTCATGCACACACTTGTGCACACACATTTTTGCACACACTCTGCACTCCCACACACTCGTGCACTCACACACATGCATTCACACACATGCACTCACACACACATGCAGGCACACACTTCTATCACACTCCTGGAGATGCCCTGTGTGTACCATGAATGTCCCTCCCACCAACGGCCCCTGAATCAAACACAGGAGAAAGCTCCACCTCCCAGAAGGATCATCCCCTCCAGCCAGGCCACAGCCATCAGCCGCCCAGTCAATGCTCTGCCAGGGTCACCACTTGCAGGCCTGGATGACACTGTCCCCTCATGGCGCAGGTGCTGGGCCACCCCAGACAGTGGGAGCTGCCTGTTGGAGGGGACCCTATTGGTGCCAGACGGCCCAGGGGCAGCGGCTCAGGAGACACTAAGCCCCTTCCCTCCGGCAAGAGACCTGTCAGGTCTGTAAGCGCCACACATACTTGGGGTGGTGAGCCGTGGAGAGCCCAGGGCTAAGGGGCCTACCAGGCCTGGGACATGCACAGGTGGCAGTTCCCGTGGCAGTCTTCGCACTCCTCCCCAGCATGCCTGACCTTCCCACCCAACCTCCTGCAGAGACAGGTGCTCCCCCGGCGGCCAGCGCCACTACCTCCAGCCGACTCCTGAAGAGCAGCCTGTCCAGGGCCTGCTGCGTCTCCCAGGCCTCCAGCTCGGCCCGCTGCCGCAGTAGGGCCAGCGCCTGCTTCTGCCGCTCCAGCTGTAGGGAGAGCCAATGGCTCACGGTTCCTGCCGCCCCCGGCCAGGGGCGGTGGACCCCTTCTGCGGAGGTCGCCCCGAGGGACTCTACGTCTGGGCAGGGCCCCTCCCTCCAGCCCACCAACTTTCTCTCCCTGCCAGGGACTTCTCCCTTCCGGGGTGAGGCCCCAGAAGGTCAAGTGCCCTGGATCTGCTCCTCCCACCTCCAAGCTCCCCTCCCTCTCATCTGGCCCCGGCGTTTTTAAATTCTATAGTTCTGTGTGTTAGAACCTCTTCTGCTTGGCCTCTGGGGGACAGAGGCTGCTCCCAGCTAACTGCCTAACAGAAGAGCCCTAAAGGGGCAAACCTGGAAAGAATCCAGAAAGCTGGAGGTCTTTTGCTGGGTGCTGGGAAGGCGTCTCACGCACGTGTCCTCCTGCTGACCTGTGGAACCACGGAGGAGGCAGCTGAGTGGCCTGGGACCCTGTTCAGGCCACCCCTTGCCGCTGTCTCGCCGCTCCATGGCATGGCGGGTTAGCACAGCCTCTCCTCCTGCAGGGAAACGGGCACAGAGGTCAGGAATGCAGGTGGGCTGACTCCTGAGCCCAGCTGGCATCCACTCCATCAACAAGAGCCCCTGCCCCAAATGTGAAGGCAGGCTGGGAGGGCTGCAGCCCCACAGAAGGACACAGAGGGCCGCTGAATCTCCTCGTCCCCACTAAGGCCGTGTCTGCCTGACCCCAGCCACGACTAACTCCAGGATGGATGGCAGGAGTCTGTGGGGAGGGTGGGGCCCAGGACATGGGCTTTGCCTCCAGACGGACCGGGTCCGTCACACATTTGCCATGTGACCTTGAACAAATCACTTGTCAGTCAGAGCCCAATGGGGTCACAGAGGTCCCTCCTGCCCTTGTGTGAGGGTCGCGGAGATGGCTTGGTACAGGCTGGCTGCGCACTCAGCGGGTAGAAGCTGCTGCTGATGGTGTGCAGGGGTGGCTGGTGATGAGGGGGTGGTGGTGATGAGGGAGGGGTAGGTGGGTGGGTGAGTGCAGACATAAACACATGGCCCAAGTCCAGGGCTCTCTTTGGAATTTCTGTGATTGATCCCAGGCATGGATAAAAAAAACCTCCGCCTCCTCCTTGGATAATGAAGTCCCCAGTGGCCATGGAGGGGCTTCTCTTTCTCCTTGGTGGCCCCCAGGGTCCCAGCTCTGACTCCGCACGCTGCTGGAGCTCCTGGCCCCATGGAGGCTGCCACCAGGAGGTGCTGCACGCAGGGGGTCTGCGATGGTGGGGCTCTCGTGGATGACCACTGGCGGATGAGCCCTTGGCCACTGTTGGCTCGTGTATGGGCAGAGCCAAGACCAGGATTCCTGCTCGGACTGCCCCGAGACCACAGCTCCTGCAGCAGACAGCCTGCCTTCCCGGATGGAGCAGCTCAGCCGTGAACCACAGCTAGGCCAGATCCTGGGCGTTTCCACAGCAGCAGAGGACACCCCACAGCACCCAGACAGTGTGAGCAGCAGGGGCATTGGCCACCTGGAGTGCACTGAGCATTTGGGCTCATCCCAGCCCCCTATCCAACTGGTGATGATGGGAAGACACTCTTACACTTCCTGGTTTTGGTTCAAGCGCCTGTTCTGAGCTGAAATTCCTTTGCAAAGGGAAGAAACCATCCTTTGCTTTTGTTTCACAGCCCTGAGAGAGGCTGACACCAGAGAAGGGGCCCCAGCCCCCACCAAATGCCCCTCCGGCGCCTGGGAGCCTCACAGTCCTGGGGTCCCCACAGATCTCCCAGCTGTGGCCTGAGGAGGGGGAGTCCTGGTCATCGCCAGCCACGTCAGCACCCAACAGATCAGGGAACATGGGGGGACATGAGCGGCTTGTTCCTGAGCTCTGAGCCGTGACCCAGGAGAAAGTGAGCTGTCCCCGAGCTCAGCACGACCCTGGCTGGACAGAGACTGCAGGAGTCACCCCAGTGAGAGCTCCAACTCCCCTAGGAATGGGTGAGGAGCTCCAAGAGTCTAGCACCACCTGCCATCCCAGAGTTCCTGGTAGCTGTGACGATGCAATAGGACAGTCTGACAGATCTCAGCATGTGGCAGCTGCCATCACAGCTGGAGAGGATGATGTAACTAGCTACGTTCTCAATCATGTGGCTTGGGTCCTGGGGAATCACAGCCTCAAACCAGAAGTAAGCTGACAGGACCCCTGACCTCTGTGGGGGCTGTGGAGTTTGAGAGCCACGGCTCTGCTGTCCAACACGGCGGCTGGCAGCCACACCTGCCATTTACATTTAAACTTAAATTAACAGAAAATAAAACATAAAATGCCACTTATCAGTCACACTGGCCACATTCTCATGGCACAATACTGGACAACTCAGAATCCAGAACTTTTCCTCCATCGCAGAAGGTTCTATTGGACAGTGTGGTGTACGTGTTTAAGTCTGGAAAGTTCCACTGGACAGAGTTAGTCTACATGTTTAAATCTAGAAGCTTCCATTGGACAGTTCTGGTCTAGGTGTTTATGTCTAGAAAGTTGCTTGGACAACTCTGGTGTAGATGTTTATGTCTAGAAGGTTCCACTGGACAGCTCTGGTCTAGGTATTTACACCTAGAAGCTTCTATCGGACAGCTCTGTTCTAGGTATTTATGTCTAGAAGGTTCTCTCAGATAGTGCTGCCTGCAGTCATAAAAGCTAGACCCAACAGACTCCTGCTGCCTGTCCCCTGGGGCTACTGCACCTTCTGCCCACAGGATGATGAATGGGGTATAGGGGTAAAATCTGCCATGTCAGGCTGCCCCTTCCAAGAAGAAAGCAGAGCCTGACTCTGACCTCACCCACTTGGGAGATCCTGACCAAGAGGTGGCTGTCCTGTGGCCATCGGGAACTGTCTGTGACTCACAGCAGCCAGCCCCTGCCCATCCAGCCTTCAGGAAGGGCAGTCACCAAATCCAGCAAGTGGGAGAACAGAGCCCCAACCCAGCCCATCCCTGGGCACCCCGGGTAGCTCGACACACCTCCCTGGGCTGCACTTTCTGGGGAGAGGAAAGGTGGTGCTATGGTTTGAAACGTTTGTCCCTCCTCATGTTGAAATGCACAGCAACTCAGCCACAAGGCGGTTCAGCCACGAGGGCTCCACCCTTGTGAATGAATGAGTGCCATCACTGTGGGAGCAGGTTCATTGGAAAAAGGAGAGTCCCACCCCCCTTCGCCCTCTCCCCTTCTCGCCCTCCTGCCTTCCTCTCCGTGTTGATGCAGCAAGAAGGCCCTCGCCAGATGCCGGTGCCTTGTTCTCAGACTTCCCAACCTCCAGCACTGTGAGCCAACACATTTCTGTTCATGGTACGTTACCCAGTCTCTGGGATTCTGTTACCGCAGCATAAACAACGAACCCCCCAGCACATGCGCTGTCTGCCCCTTCCTGTCGAATCCTCCCTTTGCAGTGATGCCTCAGTTCCCACACACTGTGCACCCTCACTCGCTCATCTTCTTACTGCCCACACTCCCTGAAACGGGTGCCGCAAGGACCGGGCCCTGCTCCCTCAGTGCCAGGTAGGCAGCGACGGTCAGAGGGTGTGTGCGGAAGGAAGGGGCAGCTGCACCCCGGAGCTGCAGAGGCTCCACACCCTGGAGACTGGGAGAGTCTCTCCGGGGAGGGGCTGGGTGAGGGAGACACAGACCCTTCCTCCCTCTGAGGGCTCCAGGTGTGAGCCCAAGAGGCCCCCCACACAAGCATGCACACACGCGCACACGCAGGACCCTCTCTGCCGGTCCCTGAAGCTGCCAGGTCTGGCTCCATGGCCCTGGAAGACCCCGTGAGCCGCGCCCCCCTCTCAGAAGCAGCCTCCAGGAAGGCTCCAGCCCCAGGCTTTGAGCCCAGCCCCTGGGGGTCCACAGCCCAGGACTGAAGTCCACTTTCCTCCCCCCAGCACTGGCGCTGGAGCAGGACCTTCGCCCCCAGGATCCCCAGCTGCCAGCTGAGGAGGGTGCAGGTTGTATCTGGGGCTACCCTGGGGTGGTGGTCCGGGGTAGGGAGTGGCATGGGGGCCCCCATTCACTCAGAATACACCCCCTGCCACGTCTCCCCCAGCCAGACATGAGCGTGTTTTACTCTAATGCTCAAAACCTGTGAAAATAATCGACAAATAACGATGAAGGAGCAAACATGGCCCCCGCCTCCTAGGACCCCCCGCGCCTCCTCAGAACCCGCGCCTTCTGGGTCCCCACCTTCTCTGCCGCCCCGCCTTCTCTGCGGCCCCGCCTTCTCTGCGGCCCCGCCCTCTCTGAGGCCCCGCCTCCTCAGAGGCCCCGCCTTCTCTGAATCTCCGCCTTCTCTGAGTCTCCGCCTCCTCAGGACCCGTGGCTTCTCAGAGGCCCCGCCTTCTCTGAGTCTCCACCTTCTGAGGCCCCGCCTTCTCAGAGGCCCCACCTTCTCTGAGGCCCCGCCTTCTCTGATTCTCTGCCTTCTCTGAGTCTGCACTTTCGCAGAGGCCCTGCCTTCTCTGAGTCTCCACCTTCTCAGAGACCCCGTCTTCTCTGAGGCCCCGCCTTCTCAGAGGCCCCGCCTGCGCAGAGGCCCCGCCTGCGCAGAGTCCGCGTGTGCTCAGTCCTGAGGCTGCACCCGCCCCCCAGCTGCCCCACCAACTCCCCTCGCAGGACGGCCCCACAGCGCAACGCACACCAGGCCAAGACCCTCAAGCCCAGCAGCGCCTGGGCCACTCATGGGCACCAGGCAGTGGGCGCTGCTCATTGGAAACCAGGGATAAGAACACTCAGCAGCAGGCGGAAGAACCGAATCCGGGCTGATGGGACCATGGGACGCGTCCCGGGAGGCGGCCTGAGCACGGCGGCCCCGGCATGGCTGTCACGAAACGAGCTCGTCGGTCTCCACCCAGCGCCCATCCGGCCAGCACAGAGCACGCAGAGGCCCCGAAAGCCTCCAAAACCTTTAATACTGAGGTGTGGATGCTCTCCACATGGAAAAGGGTCTCTCTACCCCTCGGGGCCAAGCTCGAGTGCCAGGCAGCGAAAGGGTTTCCCGCAGATGCCCCTGGCCACCCAACCAGCCAGCCCGGGGCCAGTCCGCAGGGTCGCCCTTACCGCAGCTCCGGGGGGTCCAGGGCGCCACGGAGTCTGCCCCTCCGGCTGCCGGCATCTCCTCCAGTTGCAGGGAGCCCCAGATCGGGTCCGTGTGTGAGCTGGAAAGCACAGGTGCATTGGTGGCAGGGCCAGGCCCGTGGAGGAGGTGGTTGGCAGGGAAATCTGGGGGACAGCCCCTCACTGAGCAGGAACCTGGGCTCCCGTGGCTTGGAGCAGCTCTCAGACCCCCAACAGTGTGCCCAGGGTGGGACCTGATGGCCAAAACCTGGATGGGGAAGAGTCTGAGGCCTGGGGTCCAGGAGGTAGGGATGAGCGGGAGACAGGGGAGAGCGGGAGGCGGGGGCGAGAGGTGGGGGGGGGCAGGTGAATGGGTGGCGGGGGTGAGCAGATGGTGTGGGCAAGCGGGTAGCAGGGGTGAGCCAGTGGCAGGGATGGGGGGGGGTCTGAGCATGTGTCCCAGCACGGCAGCATGAACCAAGGCTGCCAGCCCTCATCTGCAAAGTGTTGATGCCAAGCCTGGCTGCTTGGGGCTCTACACTCAGACCCCAGGGGGAGCAGAGGTGTGGAAGGCCACCGTCAGGCCCCAGGGCCAAGATCAGAGTCTCTGAAGCCAGCGTGCTCATCAGGACCACCTCGGCCATCCCCTGAGGGCACTGTCTGCCAGGTCCCGAATCAGCTGTGGCCCTCACCCCACTACTCAAGGCTGGCATTGGAGGCTGCAGGGCGACCTATCTGGAGAGCACCTGGGGCTGTGGCCATGGAGGCGGGCACAGCTGGAACCACACACCTGCCCCCGCACAGGCCAGCCAGCACACAAGGCTGACAGAGCTAGGAGCCAGGTGTGGCCGCTGGCCTTTCCCCAGTCGGTGGCTAAGCGGTGAGGGAGAGCTGCCAGGCACAGGCCGGCAGTGCTGCTGGGGTGAGGAGACTTTGGGATGCAAAGAGAGACGAGCATGTGGGCGGATTATGTGCTGAGCCTGCGTCCGAGAGCATGGCCAGTCTCACTGCACGTTTCTCATCAGGGCCTCATCTGTGATTCCTGGTACACAGGGACCCAGAACTCACTGGATGGCTGAAGATGCTGCCCACACCTGTAGCCCAGGGGTTGTGGGAGGGGGACATGCCCTCCCCTAGCAGCCCATGGGGCCCACAGGTGTTTTTGTCTCACACCAGCTGTGGGCAGGGGCTGTGCTGGGCCCGGTGATAGTGATGACCCCCACAACCCAGCCCCACCCACATTCCCGGTGCTGCAGGGGAGCTGGACGGGTGCCCAGGCCATGAGGGGCTGCATGGCGCCCGGGAGCACAGGCCTGGACAAGAGTGTTCCAGTACCCAGGCTGGGTGGCTGGAGGCGCCTCCACCACTGAGTGCTTATGGGACAGAGAGCAAGGACCCACCCCCAACTCAGAAATCAGTCTGAGGCCCTCACAGTGGCTCACACCTGTAATCCCAGCACTTTGGGAGGCCGAGGTGGGCGGATCACAAGGTCAGGAGTTCGAGACCAGCCTGGCCAACACGGTGAAAATACCCCATCTCTACTAAAAATTCAAAAATTAGCCGGATGTGGTGGCGTGCACCTGTAGTCTCAGCTACTCAGGAGGCTAAGGCAGGGGAATCGCTTGAACCCGGGAGGCAGAGGTTGCAGTGAGCTGAAATTGCTCCATTGCACTCTGGCCTAGGCAGAGCAAGACTCCATCTCAAAAATAAAAAAAAAGAAAAGAAACCAGTCTGAGAGGCGGCCAGGATCTGGGGCACCTGGGAGGCTCAGCGTGGGAGACTCGGAGGGGGCTGCAGGTGGAGTGAGCAGAGGCGGCGTGAGCCTGTCCGGCAGCTCCAGCCTGTCTGGTGGTGCATGGCAGTGGCTGTTTCAGAAGAAACAGGCCGGGCCCCTTTCCTGGCTGCCCAAACAGGGGCAGAAGCCTTGGAGGCCCCAGCCAGCCTCTGAGCCTCTCCCTAATCCCTGCTCTCCACCAGCCTGGGTCCCTCCAGGCCACAGTTCATGAATATGATTCTGCCTCCTGCTGCCTCTCCACCGCCTTGGCAGGGCTGTGTGGTGGAGGGCACAGCCCAGTGCCTGGCTCTGGTGGGAATGTTGGTGCCAGCGCCACAGGGCACCCGGGCCGCACCTCGGCCCCTCTGGCTGGACCTAGGCTGGGCCAGGAACAGTGGAGACCTCAGCCTGGGTCTGTGTGGGTAACCCCCCATATAGGCATCGAGGAATGAGAGCTAAGCAGAACCCTGGAACAGTCAGGGTTGAGGAATAGTTCACTTTATAGTGTTACTACTCAGCTATTTCCTTTTATATAATCCTTTACATAATCATATATTAGTTTATAGAATTAGGGCTTGTAGGCTACCTTTATATAATCCTCTATATATAATCATATAATAGTTGATAGTATGAGTGCCTGAAGAATATTTCCCTACATATATACCTTTAATTATATCTTAGTTCATATCAGAGGAATGCCTAGAGCAGACACAGCGCAGAGCATGGTTTAAGGGAAGACAGTTACACAGGACAAGAATCCATGGCCCAGGCGGCAGCGTTCAGTATCGGAAAGATACCCGCTGTATGGCAGGCTTGGGGCGAGAGCCACTCCTCCTGATAAAGGAGTCGTGGGACCTTGCTCCAGTTCTTGTGGAAGGCTGCCCTCAGACCGGCAATCCACCTTGGTGACTGTGAACTTTATCAGCTCTTGCTGCTGTGCTGCTTGAAAAGCATCTTCCTATAGAAGCCACTGGAAGCTGCCAGAAGGTGGCGGTAACCCTACAGCTCTGTCACTGCTATGTGACTTAAGCATCCTCCTATAAATCTTCTTAGAAGTAGTTTGCCCATAGACAGAAGTATTGCACACTGTACCCTCTTCACTGCGCACGGCCCACCTTCAAGCCTCGGTGACCTAATGGGGGTGGACCCCTTACTGCACACGGCCCTCACCTTCATGGGAACAGGCCCCTTGCTGCGCACGGCCCACCTCCTGGCCTCTGTGACCTAATAGGGGTGGACCCCATGTTTAATTGCTCACGACCCTATCACTGTCCTTAAAGATGATTTCACTCACTGCCCTGCCCCCTAACCTATACACAGTAAATACTCATGCTTCTGGACATTCAGAGCCTCATCTGACTCCGCTTATAGGTGGCGAGGCCCCCCGAGCCCAGCTGCGTTTTCCTGATACTTCTGTGTCCTGTCTCTTTATTTCTCGGATTCTGTACCTCAGCACAGCATAAGGCTCACCCCGCGACCCTGTGGGGCCCTCAGCCATACATCTGACTTCCAAAGTGCCCTACAGGTCTGCTCTTGGAGGCAGATCTAGCTGGTCCCCCAGGAGCCCGAGGCACTGAAATTAACCTCTCCAAAAATTCCCACACACCCCCACTCCTTCTCAAGCACCACCCCCACCCCTTCTCAAGGGCTGGAAGGAACAGGTGGCAGAGGTGAGGGCTGGCCCGATGCTGCCCTCTTCTGGTCACAGTGACTCAGTTCCACAGGCTGGGCAGGGCTTGGGCAGCAGGTGGGGTCAGGGGCGAGATAGGGTACAACTCAAAGCCCTGGAACAGGCACCAAGCCCACCATCCCTGAGGTCAAGGAGGGTTTCAGGAGAGGAAGCTGGTGGGGCTTCCTCAGAAGGATGGGCAGGAGAGACATGAGGCCAGGAAATGTCCCAGCTGAAGGAGAGGGGAGGGGAGAAAAGGAGAGGGGAGCAGAGGGAAGGGTGAGCTTGGGGAGGGGCATCCCCTTCCCGAACGTGTGGACTGTTGCTGCTGAGGAGGCAGAGGCCTTCCTGAGAGAAGGCTGCCGGCCTGGCCTCCTGCCCGCCCCACCCACAGTGTTGAGTTTTCGAGCTTGGGTTCTGGGGATGCCTGGGGAGCGGCTGCTCAGCGCGAGCTGGGGTCCCCCACCCAGGGTGCTTCCGTCAAGGTCAAGGACAGAGGGGTGAGAGTGACCAGGAGTGACCCAGGAACGCCTGGCAGCACATGGTATGCAGGGAGCCGTGGGGACCAGGAGGCACCGCTGGCCAGGAGGCCCTGGATCCCAGCCCACCCCAGCAAAAGCAGGTGGGCTCGGAGGAAGATTTTTGGCAGGGGTGGGGAGTTTTTCAGGAGAGGAGATCCAGAAGTGTTCACAAATCCCCAGGAGGGAACTGGAGACCATGGCTGCTGCCGAGGAGGCTCAGGTGCTCCAGAGGCTCAGGTAGTGCAGCCTCTGTCACGAGCATCTAACTCACTTTCCACCTGCAAAGCCCCCATGGACTGAGCCTGCGGGCTTCGCTTCAGCCTGGGGCTCACTGGGTGGGGCTGCCGGCGCTGGCATAGGACAGATGCTTCCCCAGGAGAAGGGAGTTGGGCCTGAGAGGGGCCTGGGGTGCAGGATGGGCACAGTGTCCCTGGAAAAGGGCTTCAGATGCATCTGTGTGACGTGACCCCAGAGAGGCCGAAGCCCACGCTGGGAATGGGAGCCAGGAGGGGCGTGAGGCTCTGTGGACAGGGGCCCTGAGAGCTCAGGTGGGGGCTGGGATGGCGAGGAGCACCTGACTCACTGCTCTGCACTCAGCCTGGAGCAGCAGATGAGAGGGAGCTGCAGCAACAGCATCCCCGAGGCCCGCAGCTAGAGCAGGGGGCATTTGTGGGGAGCGTGCCTGACATGGGGCTGCCCCAGCCAGTGTCCAAACCAGTACCATCTGCTCCAGGTCCCTGGCCGTGGCCTCTAGACCAGCATGACAGGGACACACGGGGGTGACATGAGAGAGCGCGGGTGGCAAGTGGGCTTACCTCCCTGCAGAGGTGCCGAGGGTCTGGAAGGGGGCCATGCCTTTTTCCAGCCTTTTGTCCGGTTTCACATCCACAAGTCCCTCCTCTGGGAAACCTTGGAGAAGATGACACCTGGCTGCACTCCCCGGTCAGCCAGGAGCACTGAATGGGGCACCCAAGCCATCCACAGTGGGAGAGCTGGGGCCACACCTGACATGGGTTGGGGGTGTGGGGAGCCTCCCTGGCCCTCAGGCCTCTCTGCTGGAGGAAGGGCAGGGAGGTGGAGGGAAGGAGCCACTGGAGCAGCCGCACCCTTTCTCTTGCCAGAGGACAAGACAGGGGCAACAGCTGTTGCAGGTGCCAGGCACCACGCAAGGGAGCCCACTCACACCACGTGCCACGGGGGAGAGTCCACTCATACCACATGCCACGGGAGAGAGCCCATGCACACCACGTGCCATGGGAGAGAGCCCATGCACACCGCGCACCATGGGAGAGAGACCACGCACACCATGCGCCACGGGAGACAGCCCACGCACACCATGCATCACGGGAAAGCACACACACCACACACCACGGGAAAGAGCCTATGCATGCCACGTGGGAGAGGCCAGGCACACTGTGCTGCTCAGATTTCCTGGACAACCCCTGACTGTTGTCCTCCTAGCCCCACTTCCAGGAAGAAAACCAAGGCTCAGAGAGAAAATGGGGCCCCCATTCCTCCCAGTCCACAGAACCCCTGGCCACCCAGTGGTCACCATGGCCCAGGTGTTGGCCTACCTCGGGGCTTGCTCTCATGGTGGGCCCTCGGGCTCACGCTCTGCTGTTGCTCCCAGCTGGGGCCCCATGGCAGTGTTTCGCCATCCAGGAAGCAGGTGGCGGGGAGAAGGGGCTGGGGCTGCACACTGGCCCAGTCCCTGGGTGCCCCTCTGCCCTCGTTGGGCCTCAAGCCTCCAGGGCAGGCTGGGGTGGCAAGCGTGGGGTTGGCAGGCAGGGTGCAGGGCCTCGAGCGTGGCAGGCCCAAGGCTGGGTCCCCGACGGTGTCCGGTGCCTCGGCACCCTGCAGCTTGGCGGTGAGGCTGTCGACCCTCTGCTTGAGGACTCTGGCCGTGGTCTCTAGTGCCTGCAGCCGCGCCTGCTTATGCTGGAGTTGCAGGGGGCTGGAAGTGCCCAGATGCTCGGCTTCCTTCGGGTCCAGGTAGATGCACAGCTCCCGGGGTAGGTAGTGAGCAGTCAGGTCCTGGGGCTCCAGGGATCCCAGTGAGGGTGAGGCTAACAGCAGTGTGGGGGCACCCCAGCCATCTTGGGGGCCCCCCGTCCCTGTGGGCTGTAGGGTCTCAGCACGGTTCCAGGCTCTGTTCAAACACAGGCAGAAGCTGCAGGGAGAGAGGCGTGGACAGGTCAGCCTGGGCCGGCCCCAGCAGGGCACGCGAAGCAGGAGAGTTTGGGGGTGAGCATTGCAGCAGTGTCTGTGACCGACCCAGTGTCTGTCCACAGGGACCAGGGAATTGGTGACGGTATCCACGCAACAAACTATGCAGCTGCTGCAAGGAACAGGGCCAGGTGTGGGCGAGGGTACAGAGGAGCTGGATCCCAAGCACTGCTGGGGGGATGTAAGACGGTGCAGCCACAGTGACCGGCAGTTTGGTGATTTCTCAAGAAGTCAAATATAAGGCCGGTCGAGGTGCCTCGTGCCTGTAATCCCAGCACTTCGGGAGGCTGAGGTGGGCGGATCACAAGGTCAGGAGATCGAGACCATCCTAGCTAACGTGGTGAAACCCCATCTCTACTAAAACCACAAAAAATTAGCCGGGCACAGTGTCAGGTGCCTGTAGTCCCAGCTACTTGGGAGGCTGAGGCAGGAGAATTGCTTGAACCCGGGAAGTGGAGGTTGCAGTGAGCCAAGATTGCACTACTGCACTCCAGCCTGGGCAAAAAAGCAAAACGCCATCTCAAAAAAAAAAAAAAAAAAAAAGGAACAGGTAAATCCATCAAGGCAGAAAGGAGATTGGTGACCCTGAGGGCTGGGGGAGGGGCTGCCTCCTGAGGGTGGGGGGCTCATGGGGGATGGAATGTTCTGGAACTCAGTGGAAGTGGTGGTTGCACACACACGGTGAGGGTGTTAAATGCCACGGAATATGCACTTTAATATGGTGGATTGAAGTTTGACGTGACTCTGGCCTCAATGAGAACCTGCTCCAAGCAGCTGGGAGGCACTGTGGGTGGGAGTTGGCAGAGCCCACCCAACCTGAGGAGCCTCTTGGTCATGAGGCAATGAATCGAGGCCCCAGAATACACCCAGGACAGTCCTCGGCCCGGCCCGGCCCACCCACGGCCCTACCCAGCACACGAAGTGCTTGTACTTTCGCACCCACCTGCCTGGGGCTTCCTGGCCCCCCAGCACCACGCCAGAGGTCACCTTGCTCCACTCCAGCACGGGTGACTCCAGGCTCCCGGAGGCTTCCAGATCCTATGTAGGGGGCAGTGCCATCAGAGCCCCCGGCAGAAAGACCACATTCCCCGGCCTCAGCCTCAGAGCTGGGCCCTGACCTCCTCTGGGGGACCCAGGCTGCTTCCCCAGAGCCCTGCAGGAATCGGGGGTCCCACTTCAGGAGCTGTGAGAGGTAAGGGAGCTCGTCCCCCAGGAGCCCCATCGTACCCAGGGGCAAAGGCGTCCAGGTCTGACCCTGTGCCTCACCAGGGCCTCCCGGGGGTCATCCACGGACGCCCTTCCTTTCTACAGGCAGTGTCAGCAACGCCACACAGCCCCCAGGCCCCGGCTGCAGCCCTCACCCGCCCACTCCCCGGAGGGCACCCGGGACCGGCAGCAGCACCCGAGCGCCTGAGCCTCCGGCCCCTGGCTGAGCTGAGTCCCCGCAACCCACCCTCTGCACGTACCCCAGACTGTGCGGAACTGGGGACAAAGGTCACGATGCCAGGGGTGGTCCGGGAGACCACGGGGCCTGCGGTGCCGAGGACGGCCTCCCTCTGCCGCCTGTAGACCTCCTGCAGCCTCTGGCTCCTCAGCTCCCGTGCGCGCAGGGCCGCCGCCTTCTCCTCCAGGGCCTGCTGCCGCCGAGCCTGTGCCTTCTGGCGCATGAACTCCCGCAGGGACTCGGGGCTGTGTCCCGGGAGCCCTCGGGGCCTGGGGCAGGGCCGTGGCGCGTCCTTCTCCTTCCCAGGTGAGCTCTGAGGGAAGCTCCCGGTGGGCCTTGGCATGGCATGCTTGGCACCTGAGGCAGAGGAGCCAATGCCTCTGCCCTGGGCCCGGGGGCTGGCCCTCTGCACGCAGGAGCTGCTCCAGGGGCGCTGGGCTGGAGGACCAGGCCTTTCCAGAGGGTTCCATGGACTGGGGAGTGGGGCCTCCTGGTCTTCACAAGCAGTCCAGGCCCTCCGAGGACAGGGCTGCGTGGCCATAGCACTCCAGGGCTGCCGGGGGGAGGGGCTCAGCTTTTCAGGGGGGCTCCCGGGCCTCTGGGAGGCTGGGCCCTGTCTTTGGGCCCCCCAGGCCCTCCGTGGACCGCAGGCCTGCCCTGCCAACGTACTCCAGGGCCGCCGGGAGAAGCGGCCCAACCTCTCACGGGGACTCTCTGGCCTCTGGAAGGGGCGGTCCTGTTTTGGGGCCCCCCAGGCCCCCTGCGGGCAGGACTCCCATTCAGTGGAGAAGCTCCCGGGCTGCCGGGAGTGGAAACTCCTAGCCATCTCTAAAGAGGAACGCTTCCCTTCCTTCCCAGCCCAGGGACTCTTAGAGAAGGAGCTGTGTGCCCCCGGGGTCCTGCGGGGAGTAGGCGGCTGAGGGCGGGTGGACGGGGTCCCTGCCTCGTCCCACAGCCTCCGCTTTGACGGCCCGAGCTCTCGGCCTCCCTCCCGGCTCTGGGCCAGCTCCAGCCCAGCCTGGATTTGCTGGCGCAGGTCTCGTAGGATGGCCATGGCCGTCTGGATGGTCGCCGGCTGGTCAAAGGAAGCCAGGCTGGGTGTGTTCCCAGACACCCGCTGGTCACTGTGGGCGGAGGTGGCACTGGGCCACCGAGCGCAGACAGGCGAGCGCTTGGTAGCTGTGACTTTCCTGCTGCTTCCTGCAAAGACAGGAGCGTCAGGGGCGAGGACGGGAGAGCAAAGCTGGCTCCTGCACCGGGCCAGAGGCGAGGAGCGTGGGGACATCGGGGAGGCCCTCGGGCCCCTGCCCCTTCCAGTTACCCCCTGGCCGCTGCGCCCATTCTCATGGGCAGAAGCCCTCTGAGGGTGGGCGCTGCACCTGTGTGGTGAGCTGCCACTCTGCACATGCTAGCCAAGCACGGGTGGAGGGTGCCTGCGTCTAGGGAGCCCCTGCCAGCTCCCACCCTGCCTTCCTGCCGAGAGAAGACCTCGGCGGCATGCCTGCCCTGGGAGCTGGCAAGGGAGCCTCCCGGGCACAGAAACCCTGTTCTCAGGCTTTGAAAACACACATTGCCCGAAGTCCAATGTGGATGGCGGGTTTGGAGGGTGTTTGCAGGCTGCTGTGAGAGGCGCGGACACCTCTTGCTTCCAGACTGCCTGGAGCCTGGGCATCTCCTCCCATTCCCCGCCCCCCAGATGCCACAGCAGAACAGGGCAGAGCCCGTAGAGGCACAGGTACCTAAGTCCGAGGTGAGAGCCGGGTCTCGGCAGGGGGCCTTGCTCTGGAACCCGCGGAGGGCGGGAGGGGGCCCAAGCAGCGACCTCACTAGAGCTTGTCCCTTCCTCCAGGCGTACACACCAGCCAGCTCCGAATCTTAAACAGAGAAAACACACACACAGTCGGGCTCCCCACGACCTTCTGGGCACTGGCCCAGGCAGGGAGGTTGGTGGCTCTGCGCAGCCCCAGAGGCCACTTCAACACTCCCAGAGGGCTCAGCGGGGGAGGAGGGAATCCCTCACGTCCAGGCCCCTGTTGGGCAGAGTGGGACCCTCAGCCAGTACAGGGCAAGGCTGAGTCTCAGGGCGGCCACGAGCAAGTGGCTTCCTGACCCTCAGAGTCCTCTTCAGGAAAGCCAGGAAAACAGAGCCTGCCCCCACAGCTCTCAGCACAGGCCAGGCCTGCAGCGCATGTGAAAGAAACAGGAGCAGCAGCAGCCACAGGAGTGACAACACCCGCCCTCGGCCCCTCGGCCAGGCTCTGCACGCAGCACAGGAGGTCCCATCGCCGCGGGCCATGTGAGTTGAGCCACAGGAGATTCATCCGCTTTCAAGCCAGCAGCGTCAGTGGTCACACGGGTGGGCAGCGAGGAAGGCTCCTGGCTGGCAGGACAGGGGGTCCTGTTCATTGCAGCCACAAACAGTCCCACGTCCCGAACCCACCACCAATGCCATCACGCGGCAAGTGCTGCTCATCAAGGTGGCAATTCCAGGCCCAGCTCACCGTCACCTGTGCCAACACCAGACCTGCCAGACCCACAGCCCCCACACTGAGGGCCCCGGCAAAGGTTGAAGCAGGGCAGGCCCTGCTCACACGCTCTCACACTCATACACACTCACATGCTCACATGCTCTCACACACGCTCACACACATGCTCTCACGCTCACACACACTTTCACACATGCTCTCACACACACGCTTTCACACATACGCTCACACACTCACATATGCTCACACAATCACACATTCTCACACACTATCACACACGCTCTCACACACACATACACACATGCTCTCACACACGCTCACACATACACTCACATGCTCACACAATCACACATTCTCACACACACACGCTGTCACACACGCACACACACTCATACACTTTCTCATATACACGCTCACACGTGTTCTCACACAGGTGCTTATACACATGCTCACAACTCCCTCATGCATTCACAGGCTCACACACACGCATGCCATCACACACACTTTCATGCTCACACGCACACTCTCACACACATGCTCACAATCCCTCATGTGCTCACAGGCTCTCACACAGATATACCATTATACACCTTCACACTCACATGCTCACAGGCTCACACACACACTCGAATGCTGACAGGCACTGGCACACTCATGCTCACACTCATACACATGCTCACACGTGCTGTCATGTATGCTCACACATTCACATGCTCTGGCACGCTCACACATTCATGCATTCACACAAGTGTACACACTTGCACACATACTGACACGTGCTCACACACGGTCTCATGCTCACACACAGACACACTGCTCTGAACCTGCTCATACACGCTACCACACAGTCTCATATGCTGTCAGACACACACACACACAAGCACTCACACTCATACACACATGCCCTCACATGTGCTCTTGCATACACACATGCTCATATATACACGCCCTCACATGTGCTCTCACATACACTCACTCACACACTCACACTCTCACATGCTACCAGTCTCATATGCCCTCACACACAAGCACTCACACTCATACACACACATGCCCTCACATGTGCTCTCACATACACACATACACACGCATATATACACGCCCTCACATGTGCTCTCACATACACTCACACACACGCTCTCACACACATGCTCACACACGCATGCTCTGACACGCACGTTCACACACACACAAGCTCTCATGCTCACATGCTCTCACACACACACATGCTCACACACACGCTCACACACATGCATGCTCACATGCTCACGCTCATACACATGCACGCTCTCACACACATGCACGCTCACACACATGCTCTCACAAACACACATGCACGCTCTGACATACACACACACGCACACACACAAGCTCTCACATGCACACACATGCTCACACACACACATGCTCACATGCACACTCACACACATGCATGCTCTCACACACATGCTCACACACACATGCACGCTCACATACGCATGCTCTCACACACATACATGCTCTCACACACACACACACGCTCTCACACATGCAAACACTCACACACTCACACACGCTGCTTATTCCAGCTGGCTCCACAGGGCCAAGACCACATGTGCTACAGATCGCTGGCCCCTATGCTCCTTCCTAAGGCCCAGCCCAGGGCAGTTCCACCACGAAGTATCAGCCAGGGCTCATCCTGTCCCCCAGGAAGGGAGACTTTCTGCCAAATGAGGGTGCCTTGGGCAGGGACCATCCAGAGAGCTGAGCACCCAGGGGCAGGCTCCTGGACTGAGTCAGGGACTTCCCTAGCACCACCCCCAGCCACGGCACCCTCCCCGCACTGCCCTGCCCCCTGGCCATCAGCCACAGGCCTGAAGCTACCTCTCCAGGAAGGTGAATGGACTGTGCAGTCACCCCCACCAGGCCATGCCCTCCCAGAGCCACATCCCCAAGGACAGGCTCCCTACGGCCACGCTCTTTCCAAGACAGGACCCCAGGCCACACCTCACGCCCATGCCCACTTTAGGGTAGGAGCCCCTTAAGGCTGTACCTTGTCTAGGACAGGGCCACAAGGTGAGGAAGGTTTAGGGCGTGGTCTCAGAAGTCCCAGAGCTGGGTTGAAGTCTGGCTCTGCCACTCACCAGCCATGGGCCTCAGGCAAGTGATGTAACTTATCTATGCCTCAGTTTCCCCCTCTGTAAAATGGGGTGCATATCTCACAGCACCTCCCACAGGGCCACACGGATGAAAAGGTAGTGACAATCATTGTGGGAACTAGGCCTGGAAGGGGGTCAGGATTCCGCTGGCTCAGGGTGGTGTCAAAGGCCAGAGCTGAGGCCAGCATGAGCCAAATGCCCACAGCTAGGTTTCAGGGTGGGGGACCCGGTGTGGAGGGGAACCCCGGTGAGGTTTCTCCATTCTAGTCCCTACAGCTGCTCCCCCACACAAAGCCAGCCAGGCTCCCTCGCTGGGGTGCTGGGCCAGGGACCCGCCTGGGGAGGGCCTGCCCGCCTGCCCGCCTGGCCCCTCCATCGCTGGCCGCTCGCTTCCCCATTAGCCCGCCAGAGGGTCTCGCTCGATAAATGGGTCCTGGTGGGCACATTTTTTCTTCCACTGAGCAGTTTAATGGCAATTAATTTTTTTACGAGAGGATTTTTAATCTGTGGAAATGGATGAAGTCCCCAAGTGCCCTGTCAAAGTTCCGGGGCTGACCTAATCTATGATAAAAAATGCAAAGTGAGGTGATATAATCTGAAATTAAATATCGGGCTTCATTTTCCTTTGGCCCGGATGGATGAATATTTTATAACTATTGTGATTTAATTTTTCGTTAACTACAGCAAATTTCTAATTCATCCAATTCCCAAGTCCTGTGACTCTGACCTCTGAACCAAAACTCATCTCTCCTTGGCCCAGCTGTGACTTCGTCACTGACAGAAACTAATGGTCAGCACTGTCAGGGTGACACGCTGCTTACGATGATGAATGTGGCCGGTGGCACGGCCTCTGACCCGGTGTCAGGCACAAAGCAGGTCATTTTTCAAGTGAGCCATGAAAATAAAACAAACCAAAGACCTGGGGGAGGGAGGGGATGATCATGCAGAAAATTATTATATTGTACGCATGTTTCCGCAGCCTTCCAGAACCTTCTTGGTGCCTGGGTCCCTCGGTCTCCTTCCCCTCCTGCACTTCCTCTGGCCCCGCCGAATGCACACGGTGGCCCCGCAGCCCTGCTGAGCTCCCACCTCACCCGAGAGTCCTCCCTGGGCGTGGACACAGAGGCTGGAAGCTGCCGCTCTGCCTGAGACCAGAGGAGCCAGTGTCTGATGACGCCAGACAGATGCTCAGCACCTGGGCACAGACAGAGCACACGCCATGCGGTGCCCCTCCCCACAGCCCCAGGGCTGTGATTGCTCTCGGTGTGAGGAAAGAGGCATGGAGCTTCACGGGAGTGGCCACAAGCCGGCGCTGCTCACACTTAGGGTAAGGGTCCCACAAAGCCAAACTCAGCACCTGGGGGCTCTCGCTGGTGTCTCCAAACCCCGTGGTTCGGTGGCCCAGGACCCAAGCCTGGAGGGTGGCCTGGCAAGCTGCCCAGCCTCGGCCCCAGGTGCATACGGCCAGGCTCCCAGGTTAGGAGCGCCAGCCTCAGGCTGGACGGGCGGGAGGCTCTGCCTCTGTGCGGTCCGGGCAGGCCGTGGAATCTCTGTGAACCTCAGTTGCATCATCTACAGAATGGGAGCAAGACTGCCTATCTCAGCAGAGAACCAGGAGGCTTCAGTGAGCCCACGGAGTGTGGGCGCTGGCCACGCCACTCCTCTGACTTGAAGATGCCCCAGAGGAAAGCCCCGGAGGGATGCTGCCTGCCACCCGCCCCCCCGCAACCTTACTGAAGGGCAAGGGCGGCTCTCAAGTTTGCCTGCGAGCTCCGAAACCCATGCCCAGGCTGGGCCGCTGGGTCTCTGCAGGGCGCTGACACCCCTGCCCGGTCCCCAGGGAGGAGATGCCTGGATCAGAAATTCCTCTGACCACCGGGATCCACCCACAGCATTGCCTGACTGGACTCTCCGGGAAACACGGATGAAATTAAGCTCAATGCAAGCGTATGGCTGACTCGCACCCCCATGCGCCTGCGTGGAGTCCCCAAGCTACTGGAGAGAGTGGGGTCTGCGGAAGACCCTTTCCCACCCCCAAGTGTGCAGGTGGAAGGAGATGTCCTGGGCTTGCTTATTAAATGCAACCTCATGACAAAGCAAGCACGGCTCCCTCAGCCAAGCACGCCCTGAGCTGCCCACCACACGAACACCCGTGCCAGCATCTGTTACTGTTCTGAAGAACTGTGGGCTGCAGGTGCCATGAACTATGGGTGCTGTGGGTTTCGGGTGCCCTGAGATGCAAGTGCTGTGATCTGTGGGTACTCTGAGCTGTGGGTGCCCTGAGCTGTGGGTGCCGTGAGCTGTGGGTGCCGTGAGTTGTGGGTGCCCTGAGCTGCGGGTGCTGTGAGCTGTGGGTGCCAGGAGCTGTGGGTGTCCTGGGCTGTGGGTGCCAGGAGCTGTGGGTTTCCTGGGCTGTGGGTGCCAGGAGCTGTGGGTGTCCTGGGCTGTGGGTGCCGTGGGCTGCGGGTGCTGTAAGCTGCAGGTGCTGGGAGCTCTGGGTGCCGTGCGCTGTAAGTGACATGTGCTGTGGGTGCCATGAGCTGCGGGTGCCCTGAGCTGTGGGTGCCATGAGCTGTGGGTGCCCTGAACTGCGGGTCCCATGAGTTGCGGGTACTGTGAGCTGCTGGTGTGTGCTACACTGTGGTTGAACAGCTCTGTTTTCTTACAGACGCACCCAGCCTCCCGGTTTTGAGGGGACAACAGTGCCTGGTGTTTTGTGGACTTTCACTTTGTCTCAAGGGACATGCCCCTGCCCAGACAGGATCCACCTGCTGCTCCAGTGGTGGCCAAGGTCACCAGTTGCCTGGGACACGGGTCCTGATGCTCCAGCCGGGCCTGCGGATCCCAGGTGCCCTGAGGAAGCCCGTGCACACTGCAGTCCAGCTGACCAGCCCCAGCCCCAGCCCCAGAAATGAAAGCCATCTGCTACCTAGTGTGCCAAGATCATACATGCCAGTCCCCAAGCCCTGCCAGGGCCCCGAATAGCAAACCTTACCTTCATCTTTGTCTTTGGCCACTCTTCTAGGGGAGGGCGACTTGGGGGTCTTCTCTCTTTTGCAGGAACTGCTTCTGATCCTTTTGGCTTTTTCCCTTAGAACTTCAGTGAGGAAGAGAAGGGAAGGAAGGGAGGAGAGGTGAACAGTAAAAACACACACAGGTCCCGCCACTTGGCCACCTGGGGTCCTGTGCAAACACAGTCACGAGAGCCATAAACATTGCCGGTCCTGCTCCCTGGTCGGCGAGATCCAGGGTAGGCGGCTAACGCTGAGGACAGGGTGCCTGGTCTGACTGTCACGTCCCCTGCAAAGCTCTCCTTGGGGACTGTCATGGGGCACTCCTCCCTAGAGAGCCAGGCACACCTACTCAAATTCTCTCCTGGGTGTCCGGCGGTCTCCCCTCCCGGCCCCGAGGTCCTGAAGACAGGAGCCAGTTTCTAATCTCTGAATCCAGCACCCAGCTGGGGGCCGGGGCTGTGGGCACTCAGGACTATTCGCTGAGTGAAGGAATGACTGGACGGGCCAGGCCCCAAGTGAATGCACAGAGTAGCAGCGTCCCGACTGAACATCTCTGAGGCCAGAGGCAAGGGGAGAGGGGGCAAGTGGAGGGGCCATGGCACCGAGGGTGGACCCTCCTGGCTGACAGGAGGAGATGGAGCCGAGGGGGCAGGGTTTGCTCAAAGTCGCGCAAGTGTAGCGGCCACCCAGAGGGCTGGCTCCCGAGCGGGCTGCTTGTCTTTCCCTGCATCCCACCTCCTTCAGTCTCCGCACGGCTGGGGTGGGGGTGCATCCGGGAAGCCACAGTGTCTGACAGGTCTCCCCCAGGTGGGGACTCACAGACGAGGACCCTGGCCAAAGGCGTCTCTGGGCCTCCAAATGCCACTCAGTCCAGGCTGGGCCTGTCCCTCGGTTTTCCAGACCCTGACCCTGCTGGCAGGAGGATCCTCAAGAGTCAGGTAGGTCCTCTTTAAAGGACACAGACTATGTGACCCCACTCTACGCAGTCACCAGAGTTGCCAGGTCCACAGAGACAGGAAGCAGGAAGGTAGGCGCCAGGGCCTAGGGGAGGGGGACGGGGAGTCAGTGAGGACATAGCTTCAGCTGGGAAGACGGAAAGGTCTAGAGACGGAGGGTGGCAATGGCTCCACAGCTCTGAGAATGTGCTTAGCGCCACTGAACTGTGCACTTAGAAAAAGGCCCTCCCACTTCAGGAGACCGAGGCAAGTGGATCACGAGGTTGGGTGTTTAAGACCAGCCTGACCAACATAGTGAAACCCCGTCTCTGCTAAAAATACCAAAATTAGCCAGGTATGGCGGTGCACGCCTGTAATTCCAGCTACTTGGGAGACTCAGGCAGGAGAATCACTTGAATCTGGGAGGCAGAGGTTGCAGTGAGCCGAGATCACGTCACTACACTTCATCCTAGGTGACAGCGTGAGACTCCGTCTCAAAAAGAAAAAGAAAAAGAAAAAGGCCCTCCTCCATGCCTGCTTCTGGAGAGTTCTCAAACCGGGAGCATGAAAACGAGGCTGCCAGGAGCTGGTGACGGATAGGACGGGCGGCTGAGATCCCTAAGTGACCCACTGCTGGGTCCTGAACTTGACCAGTGGACCCCAGTGGCCTCCCTGGGGCAGGGGCAGGAAGAGTGGCCTCCTGGACAAGCTGATGCCATGGGGGTTCCCCTGGAAGGTGGAGGAGGGAGAAGCAAGGTGGCGCTGGCCGCGGGCAGAGATAGAACCAGATCCGGAGGGGCAGGAGTGCGGGGAACTACCGGGCTTGGGGAACCAACCCTGTCCCCTGCCCTCCGAGGGGCCAGCCCTGAACCCCACCCACATCTGCACTGGCTCACACACCACACCGGAGGGACACCCCCAAATGCGTGCCCGTGGCTGCTGCCCAAGCAGACCTCATGGAGAAGCCACCAAGCCGGCCCCACCCAGCCAGCACTGCACCGCCGGGAGGGGTGACAACTGTCCCCACGAAGACGCACGTGACTCCCCAAGCCCCCTCCCCCTCCCTTGTTCTGGGTCTCAGGAATCTTGCCGCGTCTGCCTCTCTGTGGACTGGAGAGAGCTCCCTGCATCCGTATTGCCCCGGCGGCAGACTGAGCCTGCCCAAGCCCAGTTCACAGCCACTCCCCGCCTAGACCTCCATGACACTGACATGTGCACTTTAAAATGATTAAGATGGTGCATTTTATGTTATGCATATTTTACAATTTTTTTAAAAATCAGAAGTTATCTTAAAAATAAAGGAGGTGGCCAGGTGCAGTGGCTCATGCCTATAACCCCACTACTTTGGGATGCTGAGAGGCAGGCAGATCACCTGAGGTCAGGAGTTCAAGACCAGCCTGGCCAACATGATGAAACCCTGTCTCTACTAAAAATACAAAAATTAGCTGGGCATGGTGGCGGGTGCCTGCAGTCCCAGCTACTCAGGAGACTGAGGCAGGAGAATTGCTTGAACCTGGGCGGCGGAGGTGGCAATGAACCAAGATCGTACCACTGCACTCCAGCCTGGGCCACAGAGTGAGACTCTGTCTCAAAAAAATTAAAAAAAAATTAAAACAATAAAGGAGGAAAAGGTCTTCCCTGTTTTCTTAGGAAAAGAGTGAAATACCTGAACACTGAGAGAAGGCGAAGGATTGGCTCTCAACGTCATTCCAACCCGGAAGCCCTTTCCAGGTTCTTTAGTTACCACCCCACCCCGACCCCCACCCCAACCCTAACCTGTCCCCCACTCCCACCCCGACCCTAAACTGCCCCCCCTCCCACCCCAACCCTAACCTGCCCCCCACTCCCACCCCGACCCTAACCTGAGCCCACTCCCACCCCGACCCTAACCTGCCCCCCACTCCCACCCCGACCCTAACCTGCCCCCCTCTCCCACCCTGACCCTAACCTGACCCCCACTCCCACCTCGACCCTAACCTGATCTCCACTCCCACCCCAGGTCCCTGCAGGAGGGAAGCTGCCAGACTTTCCAAATCTGAGGCTGACTTTTTAGGGTGTTCCTGACCTAAGTCCCCACAAATCTGACCATGCAGCCCCCAGAGGCTACAGGGACAAAGGCAGGGACTCCAGACCCAGGTCCCCTCTCTCAGCCCTGCAGGCCCTCCCTGTGTGCCGCTCCCTCCCAAGCTCTAGTGTTCCCACCACTCCCGCCGCCCTCTCCAGGGAGGGATCCTCATCTTGGCCCTGGCTCAGAAGCCCCTTCAGGACCCCAATTCCACCCCTTCAGGACTCATCCCCCCACCCATGACCCGCAATCCCCACACTTCCATGACCCCCAATTCCCACTCCTCCAGGACCCCAATCCCACCCCTTCAGGACCCCAATCCCCACCCCTTCAGGACCCCAATCCCGCCCCTTCAGGACCCTAACCCCACCCTGGGGCAGGCAGCATACACCCGACTCGCCACCCCCACAGCCCCATCCTGCCCTTTCTCCACCCTCCCAACAGCCTGCAGGCCTCCCACCCCTCTCTGGCAAAGCCGCTACTGACCTGAGCATTCAGAGGCTGGAGGGGGGTTTGTCGTCTCTTGGGTCTTCCTCGCAAGTGCCAGCGCGGGGACTTTGTGGGGGCTGGAGGGGTCTGAGGCACCCAGGGACGCGCAGCTCCCCTGCCACCGTGCCTGGGCCCGGATCCTGTCCCTCAGCTGCTCCAGCCGAGGGTCACTCTTTCTGGGCTGCCGCCGGGGCCCCAACACCTGGGGTGGCCTCTCCTTCCAGGACACATGCCCCTTGTGGCCCCCCGAGGAGCCCGAGAGCCGGCCCGATGACACCGAGCTGTCCCCATCCTGGGCGTCCGGGCCTGCGGACCACACGGGCAGGCTGTGGGCCTTCCCCTGGGGGCCTGGCTCCTTGAGGTCATCAGACCCAACCATATGGGCAGCTGCCCAGGGCGGGTCCAGCTGCCAGGAGGGCCCGGGCCACCTCAGAGCCGCCATGTCATCCTTGGCTGCAGGTGCACGGAACCTGGAGGGAGCAGCAGACACGATGGTCAGGCTCACAGGTGCAGACGTGCCCAGCAGAGCCGCTCGGACCGGCCCGACCTCCCCAGGCATCGCTGCTCCCGCCCACTGGAGGCAGAGAGGAGGGAGCAGGAGCGCACCCCACCTGGAGGATGGCTGCAGCCTTCTCTCTCGGACCCTGACCACACCCCTCTGAGGCAGGTGATGTGATTGGCCCAATTTACAGATGGAGAAACTGAGTCTCAGACAGACCAGGCCTCCTGCCCAAAGGCAGCGCAGAGGCAGGGGCAGCACTCTGACCCCATACCCTTGTACCTCGCACAGAGCTGCTGCCTCCCGGGGCAGCCATGGAGTCTGGCCACAGTGCAGCCCCCGCCCGAGTCCACACAGACGCTACCTGGGCTTGGCCCCAGCCTCCCAGTCGGCTGCTCTCCCAGGGGCCCCATGGGAGAAGGGGCCCTGCCTCAGGCTGTCCTCAGGGCCAGGCTGAGGCGTGTCCCCCAGGTGGGTGAGCAGCGTGCCCACGACCAGGGGCTGCATGGTCGTAGGGCCGAGGGTGAGCAGGTGCAAGGCCAGCCCGACCCGCCCTACCCGGGGTGGCTCGTGCCTTCACATGGTGGCTGCCAGACCTACAGCCCCGCCTACAGCCCTGCCCGGCGTGGGCTGGCCACTGCGTGGCTCCGGATGCCCGCCTGTGCTAGTCCCCTGGCCCACGATGGAAGCTCTCAGGTGGGTCATTGAAACTGGGCTGGCATGGTGGGCTGCCCAGCCCTGGGCTGCCACAGCTGGGGGCTTCCCAATGAGCTGTCTCCTGGTGGGGCGGGGGAGAGTTCCGGCTGGCCCGTGACAGCATAATAACCTTGTCACTCAGCGACAGAGCCTGGGCCTTCAGCTCCTGCTAGGACTCTTCAGCGGCTTCCACCCAGTCCTCCCAGGCCCAGAATGAGACAAAGGGAGGGACTGTGGCCGGGCTGCGCCTGTGGGCTCAGTGTTGGGCAGTGTTTCGGTGGCAGGGGTGGGGCCAAACCCCAGATCAGGGTCAGGCTTGGTTCAGTCCCAGACACAGAGGTCCTGGCAGCTACAGAAACACATGAGCCGCGTCTCTCGGTTCCATGGGGCCGGGCAGAGGAGGGGGCATTGGCTTATGGGCTCACCCTGGGGCAAGCCAGGGCACGCTTTGCCCACAGTGACGGTGGCAGAGATGCCAGGTGCTGCCTCAGGCCAGGAGCCCCCGTCAGCCTCCTCGGCCCCTGCACACCTGGGTGGGGCCCTGGCAGGGCCGTGTGGTGGGAAGGACACCTGGCAGGGCCGTGTGGTGGGGCCCTGTGGTCCCTGAGGGGAAGCTTAGACTCAGATCCCAGTTCCCTCCCAGCTCCCGCCCCACCCCCACTGGCAGTGCCACCTGGGAGCCTGGGGACCCACCCCACTGCCTCTGGGGATTGCGCTCACCTGGCTGGTGAGTCTACCCCTGCAGGGGACAGGGGTGGTACAGAGCTGAGGTCAGGCTGAACACAGATTTGTTCCAAGAGTGGCCCTTAAGGTGTCCCCAGAGAAGAGGGGTCTGCAACAAAAGACCCCACAAGTCTAGGCAGGCATGAAAGACGGAGGCCCTTGTCCCGGCTCACTCCATGGAACCTGTCCTTGGGAACTGCCGCCCAAGCCCAGCCCCACATAGGCCCCGGCCCAGGGAAGGCTCCGAGCCAAGCAGGCTGGTCATCAGTAGGCACAGCCACCGGCATCCAGGGCACAGAGGCTGAGCGACCCACAGCCTCGGAGGGGAAGCAGAGAGGAGCCGCCCAAGGACAAGCAGGGCCTGCCCGTAATGTGACGTGTGGCCAGCTCCACCCCCACCCAGCCTGGCCGAACCCTCCTCGCACAAGGGAATGAGCTCATTGCTGCGATGAGACAGTGACAAGGATGGCCCTCGGGCTGCCACGCCCTGGGGAGCACATCTGGGATGTTACTGGAAGCTTCAGGGGACATGTGGGGTGACATGGGGACCCCACCAGCCTCAGAGCCTGGGCAGCTCTCAGGCACCCAGAATGCAGCTCCGCTTCCAGCCTCCTTCCATTCCCACAGAGCCTCGCTACGCCCGGTGGGGTGGGGGGACCCTCTGCAGCCTCTGTGCCCCTGGGCCATCCGCGTGACTCTCAGGCCTGGCCCCTATGCTGACAGGTAGGTACCTCCCTGCCAGGCCTTCAGGCTCCCAAATCAGCAGTGGTCCTGGGCTCTCAGTCCTGCTCCCATAAAGGGACAGGGGCAGGGCCCTCCCAGGCAGAAGAGGCCAGGCTTGGTGGCTCCCTTTTTCCCATGAGCAGGAAAACCAGCTGCCCAGCCACCCAGCCACCCAGCTGCCCAGCTGCTGCCTGGATGCCCTGGAAGAAGCTGCATCATAAACACACAGCATAGCCGTGGAAGTGCTGGATTGTGGATGGGAACAAAATCACGACAGCAAACACCTGGGAACAGAAAAGCAAACCCAGCGAGCAGAGCATCACGAGGTCCTGTGCCTCGCCGCCACCGCCAGCTTCCTTCCTTCTCCTGCCCGCCAGCCCTGGGGACAGCTGAGCTGCTGCTCCCTCGGCCTGGTCACCAGCTGACACTTCCAGACACGGCTCTGAATCAGGAGATGCATGTCAGCTCCCGAAGGCAGGTCCACCTGTCCAGGACCCTCTGCCATGGGGCCCGATCACAGCCCACACCAGCTGGCACCGCTTCCCTGCCCCCAGAAGAATCACGCCTGCTGGGGTGCAAGGCTCGGGGCTGCTCTTCGTGGGGTGGACAGGAGCAGTAAGGCTCCGAGGAGGCCGCTGGGCAGAGGCTGCAGCAGGTCAAGGGGTGTCCCCCGGGCAGGCCAGGCCTGCCCTGTCCCAGCAGCACGGGAGCCCTGCAGCCGGGCCCAGTCAGCCACATCCCCGCCCCACTCCAGGACTAGCTGGATCTATGCCCATTCAGACCCTGCGCCTCGACTCCTGGCCCCTCCGAAGCCACACCGCTCCCTCCACCTCCACCCACCGTGCTCCAGTCCAGCTCGGAGAGGCACACGCAGCTCCTCTCCCGGGCCTCCCTCCTTGAGGGACAGTCCCCCGGGGGCAGGAGGTAGCCTTGCCCACAGCACACACAGGTGTGCAGGTGCTCGTCGCTGGAAGAGCGTTCCGAGGCCCCCAGTGCACCGGGCACTGTGCCAAGAGCCTGATGACTTCTCTGACGCCATCTCAGGGCCATTCCCCGAGAGAACCACAGGTGTGACCCCCGCTGAACGGTGCGGGGCGGGGGCTCAGACTGAGTCACGCGTCCAGGGTCCCAGCAGGATCAGCAGGCTGGGCGTGCCATGCCATCCTACACCTTCCATGTCCCCACAGCCAGGAAAGAGCGGCAGCCACCTGGGAACCCGGCACCACGCTTCTTGGCGGGAGGGGCTGAGAGGAAAAGCCCGCAGAAGAGCCACACTCTCCCCTTCCCAGCACCTGTCGGGGCCAGAAGCCAAGAGCCCGACTCCCAGACACGTGGCTGTCTCCGAGGCCGGCGACCTTGGCCAGGCGTCCAACCCTCTGGGCCCCAGATTTGCGTGCTGTGAAGTGGGCAGAGCACCAGCCCCTACTGCTGGGGCTCCGGGGGTCGGAGGACAAGGGGAGGGAGCAGGACCGCACCTCTGTCCTCAAAGGGCAGCGAAGCCCCAGGACAGGACGCGGCAGGTTTCCGGGGGCCGGGACCAGCCCACCCAGCAGCGCCAGCCCTCGGGATGAGGACGCCTGGGCGCTGTGGGCTCCGCACACCCAAAGCACACACCTTCCCGTGATACGCAACACACAGCACACACACCACATGCTATACGCAACACACACAGCACATACAGCACAACACATAAAAGTACACACAACACACATACCACACACAAAGCACACATAAACACACTGCATGCACCATGCACCACACAACACACACTATACACACAGCACACACAATGCACACAGACATACCACACACCAGACACACACCACACCACACACAACACACTCAACACACGCACCACACACGCAGACAACACACATTACACAGAGACACACACACACAACACACAACAGAAACACCACATGCCACACACAATGTACAACATACACACACAACACACATGTCACACACCACACACACACACCACACACCCCACAAACACAATACACACCGTACACACAGACGCACATCACACACAGACACACCACACACCAGACACACCATAACACATTCAACACACACCACACACACACAGACACACAAACACAATGCAAACAGAAACACCACATGCCTCACACAATGTACAACACACACAACACACATCTCACACACACCATACACACACAGACACACATCACACACAGACAACAATATTACACATACACCACACACAACATACAGAAACACACACTGCACACATCACAAACACACACACAACACACACTTCACACACAAACACAACACACAGACAATACACATCACACACATGAAACACAGACAACACACACACAATACAGACACACAACACAGTCACCCATTACATACATAACACAGAGACAACACACAAACCACACACAACACTCATAAACATATATAACACATACACACAATACACATCACACACAAACACACTACACACAGACATACAAACACACAGACACGCAACACACATCACACACAGACACACATCACACACTTTTTTTTTTGAGACGAAGCCTTGCTCTGTCACCAAGCTGGAGTGCAGTGGTGCAATCTCGGCTCACTGCAACCTCTGCCTCCCGTGTTCAAGCGAGTCTCCTGCCTCAGCCTCTCAAGTGCCTGGGACTACAGGCGCGCGCCACCACCCCCAGCTAATTGGTCCATTTTTAGTAGAGATGGGGTTTCACCATGTTGGCCAGGATGGTCTCAATCTCTTGACCTCATGATCCACCTGCCTTAGCCTCCCAACGTGCTGGGATTACAGGTGTGAGCCACTGTGCCCAGCCATTACATACATATTACATACACACTACACACAGAGACACACATTACACACCCAACACAGAGAGAGAACATACAACACATACAACACACATCTCACACACAGACAACGTGCATTATACATGCACTACACACAGACACACCACACAGCACACACAACACACAGATAAAACACATCGCACACACACCACACATGCAGGCAATGCACACACCACAGAGGCAACATGCAACACACACCACATACGACACATATACCATACATACCACACACCTCACACCACACGACACATGCACCACACACCACACGACACACGCACCACACATCACACACCCCACCCCACACGACACACACACACCACACACCACACACCACACGACACACACACACCACACACCACATGACACACACACCACACACCTCACACCACACGACACACACCACACACTCCACACCACACAACACACACACACCACACGCCACACACCTCACACCACACGACACACACACCACACACCACACAGCCCACACCACACAACACACACACATC